TCTCTCTCTCTCTACAAATAATAAAAACATCCCCATGTTTGCCACCTCAAATATGTTCTCCGAGTTATCTTTTTTTACTTTAAACTGTTCTTATACTCCTCACATCAGACTGGCCACATGATTTATTACAACCTAGTGCCACGCCACATTTATACAGACATCGAGAAACCCTGTATCCGGCTTTCTCTCAAGCTTTATTTACAGGCAGCTCTAACTCAAGTGTTTCTACTATTGGACTAAGAAATGTTTAAATACCTTTTGATATAGGATATGTTGAGACGACCAAACGTCTCTTCTGTAAACAGGAAAGTTGTGCAATGACAAATCTTGCGCAACAGAAAAAGCTTTGACTGTTTCATTTCCTTCCCTTTTAAAGATTGGGGAACTTATTTCATATGCCAACAGAGGCTGGTGATATCCTCCATTTTGTTATTTTCAATTAATCTCAAGGAAAAACCAGTAGATATTAAACACGGTACTGCAGCTAGGGCTGCTCGATTATGGCAAAAATGATAATCTCGATTATTTGGGTCTATAATTGTAATTGCGATTATTAAATGCGATTATTCATTGACTTTGAAAACATCCATTTATTGTACTTTAAAACAAATACAAATAATAATTTGAACTGTTGAATTATACGTTCAGGGTAATCGACTGAAAAACCTAAACAAAATAAAATAAATAATACATTCATGTCTACATTTAAATAAATAATATCAAAAATAATCATGTGCAGTGTCACAACCTGAAAACTCCTTAACATATAGCCAACATTTTGGTAAAACATATTCAACATATTCCACTGGGTCAATAATTGATATCACGATTATTAAAAACGATTTACTTTGAAAACATCAATTTATTGGAGAAAAAACATTTGAACAGTATGTGTTTAACGGTATATACCCTGAACTTTAAATATAATTAAATACTATGATTTTCGTAATCGTTGCAAGCCATAATCATAATCGCGATTAAAATACGATTAATTGAGCAACCCTAACTGCAGCTGTAAATACTCAGATACATATACTGTGCAAAATATTCACAGAAATGCATCAGATTTCGTCCTGTTTTGGAAAATGGGTACTTACAAAAAAATCTGTGAAGCTTGTGTTAACGACACTCCTTATTTTAGGCATCTTGAAATAATATTTTATAATGAAAATAAACGTATGTAACAGGTTTAAGGACTCATTCCTGAGTACAGAGCTCTGAGCACAAGATAAATACCTTTTTTTCTGATTACATCCTGATTTAAATTAGAATTTGAACATTTTTAGAATATCTAATTCAAGCAAATGTACAGTTGTGAGTCTTCTGTTTCAGTTGAGGTGTCAAAACGATTTTTGTTTCTGTATTGGTATCAAAACCTACGTATAATATCAGAGAGCCCTTCATTTTTACGTCAATCTCAATTTTGGGGTTATACTATTTCAGTTACTTTGTATATTTGGAAAACTGGAACAGGTACCAGATCCAACATGATGGTATTGGCTCAAAACATGCCTTCTGTATAATCACATGTCATTGTTTGGTTCACAAACCCTCACATATAGGACATATTAAGCGGTCCTGATGGGTGCATCCCTTAGTTTGCTTCCTGTTTCTTCCTGCTGAAATTAATTGGACTTTAACGAGCCTCTGGCTTTTGGCTCACATCACACAGCCATCGTTCTCCTCACACATATTTGGACGGGTTTATAAAGGAGTTGTCAGAGTTCACAGATGGGGGTTGGGTGGGTGGTGATGCAGAAAGCGAGTTCGTTAACTGTCAGGAATTTTGACAGTGGCCAGATTAGGGATGTAGATTAAATTGTGGCTGCATGATGCTCAAACATCCGGCTGTGCTGCAATGACTTACACACACACACACACACACACACACACACACACACACACACACACACACACACACACACACACACACACACACACACACTGAGAATAGTTACGTACAGGCCAGCATCACTTTCATTATTGTTCTCTGTGTTTTGTTTTGAATAGAGTTGTTGTTGTGAGGTCTCAGTAAGTAACCCCGCAGAGCTGCACGGAGTGGAGTGTGTGTCTTCAGTGTGTAATGTGTGTGTGTCTGGAGGAGTTGCTCGTTCAGCCTGTTTAACACCAGCTGCTGATTACAGTATGTTGCACAGAAGTGAGTGTGAAGAAATATCCACTAAAATCATTCGATAGAGAGGTGCCGTGATGATGTGTGAAGACTAACGCTGAAGTTAGCCACGCAAAGGCTCCCTCAGCAAAAAGACTAAACTGTTTCCATTGGACTTTTTGCTTATTGCAGGAAATAAACAAGGATGCTGAGCTATTGTTGAGCTATAAACGAACTACAGCACGGTCACATGACTTCACTTCACCACCGCTAAGCTAAAGGCGGCTAATGTTGGGCTATAAAGGAACTACAGCACGGTCACATGACTTCACGTCACCACCGCTAAGCTAAAGGTGGCTAATGTTGGGCTATAAAGGAACTACAGCACGGTCACATGACTTCACGTCACCACCGCTAAGCTAAAGGCGGCTAATGTTGGGCTATAAAGGAACTACAGCACGGTCACATGACTTCACGTCACCACCGCTAAGCTAAAGGTGGCTAATGTTGGGCTATAAAGGAACAACTGCACGGTCACATGACTTCACTTCACCACCGCTAAGCTAAAGGCGGCTAATGTTGGGCTATAAAGGAACTACAGCACGGTCACATGACTTCACGTCACCACTGCTAAGCTAAAGGCGGCTAATGTTGGGCTATAAAGGAACTACAGCACGGTCACTTGACTTCACGTCACCACCGCTAAGCTAAAGGTGGCTAATGTTGGGCTATAAAGGAACTACAGCACGGTCACATGACTTCACGTCACCACCGCTAAGCTAAAGGCGGCTAATGTTGGGCTATAAAGGAACTACAGCACGGTCACATGACTTCACGTCACCACCGCTAAGCTAAAGGTGGCTAACGTTGGGCTATAAAGGAACTACAGCACGGTCACATGACTTCACGTCACCACCGCTAAGCTAAAGGAGGCTAATGTTGGGCGTGATGGCGTTTAGTCGTCTCATTTAGACACTTGTTATCAAATGCCGTTTTTAAATCCACCAGTGGGGTATTTACTGACTTATTTTATGTCGTAGAACAGAACGTTAAAATCTCTTCAGCTTGTGTTAACCACAGACAGGCTAACAACCAAAAACACATTCAGAAAACCATTGACCTCCAGACCAGGGGATGGGAAGTGCTAAAATGCTGACTAGTTGTGTTTTAGGACTCATTCCTGAACCAATCCATAGGCCATATAAAGGCATCTAACATTATAAAGTTGCATTTTAAAATGTTTTTGACCAATAAAGTGACTTAAAGAATCTCTGGGTGCAATAAAGCAGTTTTTTCCCGAAGTGTTTATATTATGCAACTTGCTGTTAAACAAACAATATATTGTGCAGCCCTAATAATAAAGCTGCCAATCATCTTTACAAAAGCTCCCATCAGGCAGCGACCCTGTCATTGTTTGCCCGGTGTTTGCTGCTGCTGTAGCCTCTCTGAACGCTGCTCATTAACAGAGCTCAGTCACAAGCAGCTCTCTTCCTGCAGTATTCAAAGTATGCTCTTAAGCAGATAGCACCTCTCTGTGTAGGGACGCTATTTGCCTTTGAACAGATAACACTGCAGCTCTTTGGGCTCAGAACAGTCTCATAATACACACATGCACACAGAAGGAGCCCCGCCGGTCATTATCGGCCGATATTCACTCTTAATAGTTTGATCGGTGCTCTCTATAAAGGCCGATCAGGAGAGCTGGATCTGATCGATATGGACATAAACGCGAGTGAAGTATAACCGGACAAGAGAGAGAGATCAGATCAGCTGCTGAGTCTGATGGAGACACGCAGCTCTGCATGATCACCTGAAGCTCCGCCCTCTGTTTAGCGAGCTGACCGGACAGCGCAAAATGCGTATATATGAAGTGTCATGAACGCAAAAAATCTACCCTCGTGGGGGCGCGCTCATGTGATTGGCTTAGAATGAAGGAGACATCTGATTGGCTATAGATAGAAAAAATTACAAGTACGAATCGGCTGAGCGTCAGGGGAGTCTCAAAAACCCCACACACGAATGCACAGCGATCCGTGCACAGAGAGCGGTTGTGTTTCAGGTGCAGAGGTTTTACACGGAAAACAAATATGTGAGGATCAAAAATACATATGTAAAACTTTTTTCTGTAATTGGATTTTATTTACATGTGTATGAAACGGAATACATTTGTGTGAGCATTTAAAAAGACAAGTGTGGATCCTTCTGTGTGCATGTGTGTATTATGAGACTGTTCTGAGCCAGAAGGGAAATGCAGCACAGATACAGTCTCACACTCAAGACATTCTCTTGCACTATTTAATCTATTTTATTTGTTCTATGTCCGATATATATGTTGCTCTGTTGGAGGAGCCTGTGATCTACACTGTAGCTACTGTGCTAATGACAATAACGCCTTGAAAGTAAAGAAGATGATGTGTACTAACAGAGTTCAGGGAGATGGGATGTGAAGAATTAATGGAAAGACACCTAGACAAGTCGTCTGTGGGACTGTTTGCACAACGCGGCTGAAATCAAATGTTTTTTAGCATGAAGGCATCACTAATTTGCTCCAAGGATTTGCAGTCACGCACTACTTTTACTGACTGCATGTGTGTGTGTGGTACATTTCCAATATATTAGATATAAAACATCTGTCTGAGTCTCCTCTCTCTCTCTCCACAGGTCCCTCTTCAGCTCATCGAGCATGTGGAGTGTCGGGATATGTTCCAGCTTCACGTCACCTGTAAGGACTGTAAAGTCGTCAGGTATGATCGCTGATACTCTCCTGCAGCATAAAGGCATTCCTGCTTTCACTTCCTCTTCGTCACAGGTGTAGGACACTTGATTTAGAGTCACCTTCATGTAAAGCAAGCATGTGAAGTAATGTGCAAAGCATTTCAAGTTAAAAGGAAACACCAAAGTGTTTCCAGACTTCAGAGGTGTCGATCGATTCAACAACCCAAATAACCAACAACTTCATATTGTATTTGCAGCCGAGCGTTAAAGGGAAAAGCTTCACTGCAAAGAGATAATATCTGTTACTTCACAATTCATACGAAAAACCTCTACCTCTGCATCTACGAGCCACTTTTGTTTTGTTTACTGCTGACAAATTACTTGAATAATATTTAGTATTATATTTTGGTTCACACTAGAAATATTTTATATTTAATTTTTCACTATTTATAATTTTAGACATTTCTTTTAGATTTTGAAAGAAAAACGAAATCCCATAGGAAATGCATGCAGGGTCATTTTTGACCCACTTATGGAAGCTTGGGGTAGAAATACAAAAACTACAATTTCTTAAAATGTATAAAATGTGAATGGCCTGATATCCAAAACATGTTTTTTGAGGAATGGCTGGAATATGAAATGATACAAAAATGTAATTGCAAAGATACTCTAAGAAAACCACCTCACCGGGTCAAAAAGACCCACTTATGCGTCTAAGGGTTAGAAACACAATAGTTAACCGTGCAAAAGACTTCATGGTGCAGGTGAGTTGCACCAACAGACAGAATGCGTTTAAATGACAAATGCCGGTTCAGCTGCATACAATTCAAATCTGTTATGCATTCATTCCTCTCCAAGTAAATCACTACATGTGAAGAACTCTTTAAACTGTAGCTGTAAAAATGTCTGGTATTCACGATCACATCTGAGTCTTGCTGTAAACACAAATACTTCTTCTCTATCGTCTGGTAGACATTCGCTTTCATTGTGATTTCAGGTTTATCCTTAAAGTGCTTCACTCTTCAAACACTTCATTGTCTGTCAACACTAGGTGCAGCCGTCCAATTACTGTCAATCATAAATACAGGTGCATCTCAGATGAGAGCCGTCTCTCCCTGTTTGACACGACGGACTGCTTTAAAACCCAGGAGATATCTGAAACAGGATATAAACACAGTACAATGTATATCAAATAAACTACAGAGTAGCCCCGTTTAAGCGTCCCGTCCGAGGCCGTGGCGCATTTCCATTACAGTTTAGGACCTGGGGTAGCAACGCAGTGTAGGCGGGGCGATCGGCTTTTTGGCGGGCTTTTTGGGCGGAGCGACGCTGGGTAAAACTGCAGTGGCATCATCTTCATCTTCATTTTTGTAGCTCCTCCGTTTACAAAAATGCTGTGTATAAAAATGCTGCAAGCTTGCTTCTAGATATATGCAACGCTAGGGATGATCTCGTGCGCGATCTTGTGACGATTCTCTCTGACCAATTAGCAGTCGAGAGTGTTGACGTCACTAGTTCAGCCCTGGCCTGATAGAACCACGATTTTATGGGGCCGGAAAAGAGGGAAAAAGTACCCGCTAGCCAGTGCTATGTATATGGAAAGGCCACCAAAAACTTAAACGCTTAAACGGGGCTACCCGCTGCAGTGGAAATGCGCCATAAGGGTTACATGTGTTATTGTTGACCTGTTGGAGGAACATGACACTGCAGATTTTCAGCTTTTGTGCGAACTGGATCATTTTAACACCCTGACAAATTACAAAGTAGATTATGTTGAGAATTTGTGTTTTTTTATTATCTAAATGGAGGAAATAAACTACTACGGTATTATGACGATTCGGCGATTAAATCATTTCTCAGATTGTTCTCCTATTTTTTTTTTACGTTTAATCTTTGGTTAATTTTATCCATCGTTTACAAAAGACGCTTAAAAGACAAAAAAACATGCCGTAAAATATTATTTAGAAATTGAAAAGTGTTATTTTACATGAGGAATGAGCAATGGTGAAAAACAATAACACATGTATTAATAAATAAATATAAAAAGTACACAAAAAAAATCATAAAAGAAAATCTCTAAAATTATAATTCCTGGTCTCGATCTCGTTGCCTCGTGCCTTCTCAAATATTTTAAGCGTTACTAAGGTGTAATGTGTGCTCTGACCTTTGCCCCCAAAGACAAAAAACATGCCGTAAAATATTATTTATTAAGTGAAAAGTGAGCAATGGTGAAAAACAATTTTAAAAAAAAGCAAAATATGAATAAATTAATATAATAGGTACACAGTAATATAATACAAATAATTATAAAAACATTTTTAAAAAATCTCTTAAAATATAATATTCGCATTGAAGTTTCTCGTATCCTTGTGCCTTCTCAAATATTTGAAGCATGAGTTCGTTCTAACGTTTGCGCTGACCTCCCCCCCCCCCCCCCACAGGTGTCAGTTCTCCACCATTGAGCAGTGTCAGGAGTGGCTGAAGCGTCTGAACGTGGTGGTGCGCCCCCCCCCCTCGCCTGGAGGAACTCTTCTCCTTCGCCTTCCACGCCTGGTGCATGGAGGTCTACGCCGGGGAGAAGGAGCAGCACGGGGAGCTCTGCAGACCAGGTCAGAAGAAGAATAATAATAATAGATTACATTTGTATAGCGCCTTTCAAGGGACCCAAGGCCGCTTTACACGGGGAACAAACAAGATCAGACTTCAAGATTTTACTATTAACCTTTAAAATCTTACATGAACTAGCACTTCCATATCTATCATCATTAATTACCCCGCAAATATCTACCAGGCTCCCACGATCACATACTGCCTCCTAATGTCTCCTTTCCATCCCCAGAATTCACAAATGATCCGTAGGTGTCAGAGCCTTTTCATTTCGAGCACCTCTCCTTTGGAATCGTCTTAAAGGACGCAAAGCTGTTTCTGTTGACTCCTTTAAAAGCAAACTCAAAACCCATCTCTTCGCATCTGTCTTCCTTGTAAACTAATTTCCATCACCTAGTTTCCATCTACATTACCATCACTTCTGTCACATGCTTTTATCACATGGCAATACTTATGTTGATGTATAACAGGGGTGGGGAACCTCCGGCCTCCGGGCCGTATACGGCCCGCGAGACAATTTGGTACGGCCCTCGAGGTAATTTATAAACACACGCAAAAAAGAAAAAAATGTAAGAAATCTAGACCGCAAAAAAAATTAAACAAGCGAGTGCCTGTTTTTCCTGGCCAAGGTCGGGGTCCTTGAACACAACACGAGCCGAACGTGTCATCACGTGGTATATGTCTCATCTGACAGGGGTGCAGTTCTGACGGAGAGCACCAGAACGCTGCTCCAGCACTTCAGACACTGCAGTACCGATAAGGAGCCGTACACATGCCGCAGTTTTTGCGTGTCTGTGTTTTAGTTGAAAGCCCAGTGCCGATCTGTCATACTGATCATACAGTCACTTTGTTGTTATTAGCATCTGGTTAGCTAGCTATGCTAACGAATATAAGACGCTTTTTCTCCAACCAGTGAGGTAAAGGCACATCTTTATATGATCATTATAGTTATAAAAAAATAAGAGAATACAGTAAACAGGTACAAAATACTATATGACAGTAAAACAAGTTGTTATTAATAAAGAAGAATACAGTTTGAAAGGAGAGTGATTTGTCAAATATTCATAAAGAAAAATAAATCTGCTTCCAGTTCTGTTTCATCTGGGTATTGAGAGATGTATCCATAGAGCTCCTCATGTTGCTCTCAAAGTGCACCAGATTGATGCTTTCAACTTCAACATTTAAAAACAAATCTTCCCGGGGGAGCATGCCCCCCGGACCCCCCTAGAGGGGGTTAGTTCCCCCCCCCACTTAAATCATGTTCACATGGATAGAAAACTAAATACATGTGCACACATCTTGTGTCCATATCTTTCTGTTTTGGTGGTCATGCCACACCGTGCACGTGCATGCGTGCACGTGCATGCAGATATCTGGATTAAGAGGTTGCTTTTTCTTTGCACAGCATGAAATGAATGGGCTGTGATTTTAGTTTTTTTAAGCAGAGGTCAATAATTTGCACGGCCCTCTGAGGATATTGTAAACATTGAAATGGCCCTTGAGAGGAAAAAGGTTCCCACCCCTGATGTATAATGTTGCATAATGTTTTTATATTTTTTATGCTATGACGTTTGTATTTTTGTTTTTGTATTTAGCTTTGTCCAGCCCTTTGAGGCATTTCTTGACATTTGGGGCTATAATAAATAAATGTTGAGTTGGACAAACAAACAAGAGGGGCAAATAATAAAGTAACAGTGAGCAGGTGAGTTAGGTAACCCCCGTCTCCTGATGACCTCATGTGGAGCCTGTGTTCACTTAGTGTCTGTTTAAACTGTTCCAATGAGGATAGGGTGCATGCAGTCGACTAAAAGCTCTGCACCTGCTCCAGCTCTTCTTTTTACAGCCCCTCTGAAGCTACTTTGTGTGTTGTTGCACCTGACTTGTTCTTTCTGAGCACTTGCTGCCGCTCCAACGGCTTCCAGTTATAATATTGTAGCTTTTCAGTGAAACCCCGGAGACGTCACAGCAGGCATGAAGGACAAGCCTGTTTTGACAGATAACAGTGATCCAAACAAAAAACCAAAAGCTTTTAATAAATATCATCCGGACCCCGCATGTGGCTGCCGCTCAGTGTTGTACTTCGATATGTACAACATGTATGAGTGTGTGACCTTTAATCTCCGTACTCCGATTGTCCTCCTCGCTCTATGGCAGTCAGACTGAGCGGCGACCAGCTGTTCAATACAAAGTGTGAGAGAAAGCATCATCCATTTAGTTTGAATAGTAAACAAACGGAGGTATAGTAGCTCCAACAGAGGATGAGATACAAGGGAGCGATGCTGGTTTATCACATTGTCGAGAATGTGTTGTCTTTGTTACGAGAAAAAGCAGAGGGAGAGTTTTCCTGATGAAATGCTGGCAGGAAACGGCCCAGCGCCTTTCCACTCAAAAACAAAGGCTCTTATGTTGACTCAGGGTCTTATCGGCAGAGAAGGCAAAAGTACACACATCCTTTACTCAAGTAGAAGTACACATCCTTTACTCAAGTAGAAGTACACATCCTTTACTCAAGTAGAAGTACAGATACTCGTGTTTAAAAATACTCTGGTGAAAGTAGAAGTACTGACTAAACTTCTTTACTCAAGTCAAAGTAAAGAGGCTTTGAAATGTACTTCAGTAAAAAGTACCCATAACTAGCAGCTGCTTTAAAGAGTACCTGACCTCCCTTTATATTAATAGAACAATAATGTCATTGTTAGCTAATGAATGTTTCCATGCTGAACAACGGCAACATGACAACGTTTCCATTGGTCCCTCTTCTTTAGAGAAGACCAGGAAATGATGGATACACGGATCGTGTTCAAATCAATAGGCACGCAATGACTCTAAAGAATAATGATCACGCATCAAACACACATTCAGACTAAAGGAACCAGCTGTTTGGAAAATGAGAGAAGTAGAAAGTACAGGTATTTGGGTTCAACATGTAAGAAGTAGAAAGTACAGGTATTTGAGTTCAACTTGTAAGAAGTAGAAAGTACAGGTATTTGAGTTCAACATGTAAGAAGTAGAAAGTACAGGTATTTGAGTTCAACATGTAAGAAGTAGAAAGTACAGGTATTTGAGTTCAACATGTAAGAAGCAGAAAGTACAGGTATTTGAGTTCAACAATGTAAGAAGTAGAAAGTACAGGTATTTGAGTTCAACATGTAAGAAGTAGAAAGTACAGGTATTTGAGTTCAACATGGAAGAAGTAGAAAGTACAGGTATTTGAGTTCAACATGTAAGAAGTAGAAAGTACAGGTATTTGAGTTCAACATGTAAGAAGTAGAAAGTACAGGTATTGAGTTCAACATGTAAGAAGTAGAAAGTACAGGTATTTGAGTTCAACATGTAAGAAGTAGAAAGTACAGGTATTTGGGTTCAACGTGTAAGAAGTAGAAAGTACAGGTATTTTGAGTTCAACATGTGAGAAGTAGAAAGTACAGGTATTTGAGTTCAACATGTAAGAAGTAGAAAGTACAGGTATTTGAGTTCAACATGTAAGAAGTAGAAAGTACAGGTATTTGAGGTTCAACATGTAAGAAGTAGAAAGTACAGGTATTTGAGTTCAACATGTAAGAAGTAGAAAGTACAGGTATTTGGGTTCAACGTGTAAGAAGTAGAAAGTACAGGTATTTGAGTTCAACATGTGAGAAGTAGAAAGTACAGGTATTTGAGTTCAACATGTAAGAAGTAGAAAGTACAGGTATTTGAGTTCAACATGTAAGAAGTAGAAGTACAGGTATTTGAGTTCAACATGTAAGAAGTAGAAAGTACAGGTATTTGAGTTCAACATGTAAGAAGTAGAAAGTACAGGTATTTGTGATCAACATGTAAAAAGTAGAAAGTACAGGTATTTGGGTTCAACATGTAAGAAGTATAAAGTACAGGTATTTGAGTTCAACATGTAAGAAGTAGAAAGTACAGGTATTTGGGTTCAACATGTAAGAAGTAGAAAGTACAGGTATTTGAGTTCAACATGTAAGAAGTAGAAAGTACATGTATTTGAGTTCAACATGTAAGAAGTAGAAAGTACAGGTATTTGAGTAGAAAGTACAGGTATTTGAGTTCAACATGTAAGAAGTAGAAAGTACAGGTATTTGTGTTCAACATGTAAGAAGTAGAAAGTACAGGTATTTGTGTTCAACATGTAAGAAGTAGAAAGTACAGGTATTTGTAGTTCAACATGTAAGAGTAGAAAGTACAGGTATTTGAGTTCAACATGTAAGAAGTAGAAAGTACAGGTATTGAGTTCAACATTGTAAAGAAGTAGAAAGTACAGGTATTTGAGTTCAACATGTAAGAAGTAGAAAGTACAGGTATTTGTGTTCAACATGTGAGAAGTAGAAAGTACAGGTATTTGTGTTCAACATGTAGAAGTAGAAAGTACAGGTATTTGTGTTTAACATGTAAGAAGTAGAAAGTACAGGTATTTGAGTTCAACATGTAAGAAGTAGAAAGTACAGGTATTTGAGTTCAACATGTAAGAAGTAGAAAGTACAGGTATTTGAGTTCAACATGTAAGAAGTAGAAAGCTACAGGTATTTGAGTTCAACATGTAAGAAGTAGAAAGTACAGGTATTTGAGTTCAACATGTAAGAAGTAGAAAGTACAGGTATTTGTGTTCAACATGTAAGAAGTAGAAAGTACAGGTATTGAGTTCAACATGTAAGAAGTAGAAAGTACAGGTATTTGAGTTCAACATGTGAGGAGTAGAAGTACAGGTATTTGTGTTCAACATGTGAGAAGTAGAAAGTACAGGTATTTGGGTTCAACATGTGAGAAGTAGAAAGTACAGGTATTTGAGTTCAACATGTAAGAAGTAGAAAGTACAGGTATTTGAGTTCAACATGTAAGAAGTAGAAGTACAGGTATTTGAGTTCAACATGTAAGAAGTAGAAAGTACAGGTATTTGGGTTCAACATGTGAGAAGTAGAAAGTACAGGTAATTTGGGTTCAACATGTAAGAAGTAGAAAAGTACAGGTATTTGGGTTCAACATGTAAGAAGTAGAAAGTACAGGTATTTGAGTTCAACATGTAAGAAGTAGAAAGTACAAGGTATTTGGGTTTCAACATGTAAGAAGTAGAAAGTACAGGTATTTGAGTTCAACGTGTAAGAAGTAGAAAGTACAGGTATTTGAGTTCAACGTGTAAGAAGTAGAAAGTACAGGTATTTGAGTTTCAACATGTAAGAAGTAGAAGTACAGGTATTTGTGTTCAACATGTAAGAAGTAGAAAGTACAGGTATTTGTGTTCAACATGTAAGAAGAAGAAAGTACAGGATTTGTGTTCAACATGTAAGAAGTAGAAAGTACAGGTATTTGAGTTCAACATGTAAGAAGTAGAAAGTACAGGTATTTGAGTTCAACATGTAAGAAGTAGAAAGTACAGGTATTTGAGTTCAACATGTAAGAAGTAGAAAGTACAGGTATTTGTGTTTAACATGTAAGAAGTAGAAAGTACAGGTATTTGAGTTCAACATGTAAGAAGTAGAAAGTACAGGTATTTGAGTTCAACATGTAAGAAGTAGAAAGTACAGGTATTTGAGTTCAACATGTAAGAAGTAGAAAGTACAGGTATTTGTGTTCAACATGTAAGAAGTAGAAAGTACAGGTATTTGTGTTCACATGTGAGAAGTAGAAAGTACAGGTATTTTGAGTTCAACATGTAAGAAGTAGAAAGTACAGGTATTTGGGTTCAACATGTAAGAAGTAGAAAGTACAGGTATTTGAGTTCAACATGTGAGAAGTAGAAAGTACAGGTATTTGAGTTCAACATGTAAGAAGTAGAAAGTACAGGTATTTGGGTTCAACATGTAAGAAGTAGAAAGTACAGGTATTTGGGTTCAACATGTAAGAAGTAGAAAGTACAGGTATTTGGGTTCAAAACGTAAGAAGTCAAAGTAAAAAGTCGTCAGAAAAGTAAGTAGTGGAGTAAAGTACTGATACCAGAAACATGTACTTAAGTACAGTAACAAAGTATTTGTACTCCACTACTTCCACCTCTGCTTATCGGTTATCTCCCCTCTCTCCGCAGGCGAACACGTCACCTCCTGGTTCAAGAACGAGGTGGAGAGGATGGGCTTCGACACTCAGAACGCCTGGAGGATCACAGACATCAACAGCAAGTTCAGGTGATCACAGCTTCCATTCACAGATCCTGCTGCTGTGGAGGGATGATCCCCGCTCTGCTCTCAGCCTGTGGTTCAGACAGAGGGTGGTGTGTTATTGTACCCGCGCTGATATGAGCCCTGCCCAGGGTTAGGTGTCTGCAGACAGGTTGCAGTCAAATTGTCCCAAAGATCAGCTCCTATCGTCTTTTCCTATCCACTATTCTTTTACCTCTGTGTGAAACGTCAAATGTATTTATTATAAACGTGTCAGGCCTTAAAGGTCACCTATTATGCAAAATCCACTTTCCATGTCTCTTCTACATCAACAGGTGTCCCCTCTTCTTCATGTCTCTTCTACATCAACATGTGTCCCCTCTTCTTCATGTCTCTTCTACATCAACATGTGTCCCCTCTTCTTCATGTCTCTTCTACATCAACATGTGTCCCCTCTTCTTCATGTCTCTTCTACATCAACATGTGTCCCCTCTTCTTCATGTCTCTTCTACATCAACATGTGTCACCTCTTCTTCATGTCTCTTCTACATCAACATGTGTCCCCTCTTCTTCATGTCTCTTCTACATCAACATGTGTCCCCTCTTCTTCATGTCTCTTCTTCATCAACATGTGTCCCCTCTTCTTCATGTCTCTTCTACATCAACATGTGTCCCCTCTTCTTCATGTCTCTTCTACATCAACATGTGTCCCCTCTTCTTCATGTCTCTTCTACATCAACATGTGTCCCCTCTTCTTCATGTCTCTTCTACATCAACACGTGTCCCCTCTTCTTCATGTCTCTTCTACATCAACATGTGTCCCCTCTTCTTCATGTTCTTTCTACATCAACATGTGTCCCCTCTTCTTCATGTCTCTTCTACATCAACATGAGTCCCCTCTTCTTCATGTCTCTTCTACATCAACATGAGTCCCCTCTTCTTCATGTCTCTTCTACATCAACATGTGTCCCCTCTTCTTCATGTCTCTTCTACATCAACATGTGTCCCCTCTTCTTCATGTCTCTTCTTCATCAACATGTGTCCCCTCTTCTTCATGTCTCTTCATCAACATGTGTCCCCTCTTCTTCATGTCTCTTCTACATCAACATGTCAATCAATCAATCAATGTTTATTTATATAGCCCAATATCACAAATGTTACATTTGTCTCAGTGGACTTTACAGTTTGTACAAAATATCAGTATGACAATACGACACCCTCTGTCCTTAGACCCTCACATCGTACAAGGAAAAACTTCCGGAGAAAACCCACAGTTTAAAGGGAAAAATGGGAGAAACCTCAGGGAGAGCAACAGAGGAGGGATCCCTCTCCCAGGACGGACAGACGTGCAATAGATGCCGTGTGTAAATTGAAAAGATAATACATTTGCAACATAGGTAGTCCAATGTTTGGAAATGCATGTGTGTATAATAGGAAGATGAATCCACGAGGATATCCATCCAGGGCCTATGATCCAGGACCACAGCCACGACTCAAGATCCAGGGCTCGCGATCCAGGACAGAGGAGCGCAGGATCATCCATGACTCCGGATCCCGGCGTATATAGACACCAAAAAGAAAGACATTTGGGGAAGCTGGGTTAATCGGAACATGAGAGTACACAGGTATAGACAGAGAGAAGGAAGAAGTAAGATGTCCCCCGACAAACTAAGCCTATATCAGCAAAACTAGGGGCTGGATCTAATCAGCCCTAACTATAAGCTTTATCAAAAAGGAAGGTCTTAAGCGCACTCTTAAAAACGGATAGCGTGTCTGCCGCCCGAACACAAACTGGAAGCTGATTCCACAAATGTGGAGCTTGATAAGAAAAGGCTCTGGCTCCCATTGTACTTTTAGAGACTTTAGGAACAACCAACAACCCTGCATTCTTGGAACGCAATGCCCTAGTAGGACAGTAGGGTATAATGAGTTCTTTAAGGTAAGATGGCGCCTGCCCATTAAGGGCTTTGTAGGCGAGAAGAAGAATTTTAAATTCTATCCTGTGTTCTATAGGGAGCCAGTGTAAGGCAGCCAGAACAGGAGTAATGTGGTCCCTTTTCCTAACTCTGGTTAGTACACGAGCCGCAGCATTTTGAATCAGCTGAAGCGACTTGACTGACTTCTTGGTACACCCTGATAATAAAGAGTTACAATACTCCAGCCTTGAAGTAACAAATGCATGGACTAGTTTCTCTGCATCGTTTTGAGGCAAGATATGCCTGATTTTTGCAATGTTACGTAGATGGAAGTAGGCGGTCCTTGAAATTGATTTTATGTGGGCGTTAAAGGATAAATCCTGATCAAATATAACACCAAGATTCCTTACAGTCTCACTGGAGGCCAAATTAATGCCATCCATAGTTAGTATATCCTTAGATAATTTGTTTCGTAGATTCTTCGGGCCAAGTACAATAACTTCAGTTTTGGTCGTGTTTAACATCAAAAAGTTTAAGGTCATCCACGTTTTTAAGTCCTTAAGGCAGTCTTGAATTGTATTTAGATGATTAATTTCATCAGGCTTGATTGATAAATATAGTTGAGTATCATCCGCATAACAATGAAAGTTTACAGAATGATTCCTTATAATATTGCCTAACGGAAGCATATATAATGTGAACAAAATAGGTCCGAGCACTGAGCCCTGTGGCACTCCATGGCTAACTTTGGTTTGCGTGGAAGATTCATCATTGACACGTACAAACTGAGAGCGTTCAGATAGATAGGACCTAAACCAGTCTAAAGCAGTTCCCTGTATGCCAACTAAGTGCTCTAGTCTTTGCAATAAGATATCATGGTCGATAGTATCAAATGCAGCACTGAGATCGAGCAAAACAAGAATAGAGACACGTCCCTTGTCAGAGGCTATTAGAATGTCATTTGTGACTTTAACCAGAGCTGTCTCTGTGCTATGATATGTTCTAAAGCCAGACTGAAAAGCTTCAAATAAATCATTGTTTTTTAAGTAATCACACAACTGTTTTGCGACCGCTTTCTCAAGAATTTTTGAGAGGAACGGAAGATTAGAAATAGGTCTATAGTTGGCTAAAACCTCTGGATCGAGGTTGTGCTTTTTAAGAAGCGGTTTTATCACTGCTACTTTGAATGATTGTGGAACATAGCCTGATAATAAAGACATATTCATAATATTTAATAAATAAGTGCTAATTAATGGAAAAACTTCCTTCAACAGCTTAGTTGGAATTGGGTCTAACATGCACGTTGATGGTTTAGAAGAGAGAATCATTGAATTTAATTGTTCAAGGTTTATGGCTGAAAAGCATTCTAGTTTACTATCTAGTGTAATATTAGAACTTACGTTTCCGGGAGCTGTTGATAACACTATACTGGTCAAAGGCAAGAGGTCATTAATTTTGTTTCTAAGAGTAACAATTTTATCGTTAAAAAAGCACATAAAATCATTACTACTGAGTGCTATGGGAATAGAAGGCTCAATCGAGCTGTGGCTCTCTGTCAGCCTGGCTACAGTGCTGAAAAGAAATCTTGCATTATTCTTATTCTCATCTATTAATGAAGAGTAGTAGGCTGCTCTCGCTTTACGCAGTGCTTTCTTATATTCATTGAGAGTAATATGCCAAATTAAACGAGATTCTTCAAGTTTAGTAGAACGCCATATCCTTTCAAGTTGTCTCGACTTTTGCTTTATTTTGCGGGTTTCGGCATTATGCCATGGAGCTAGTCTATGTTGTTTTATTTTCTTCTTTTTCAAAGGAGCAATAGAGTCTAATTTTATTCGCAGCGCATCTGTAGCACTATCAACAACATGATCAATTTGGGGTGGTGTACATTTTGTATAAGTTTCCTCCCTTACATGCAGACATGCTATCGAGTTAAGTATTGGTGGAATCTCTTCCTTAAATTTGGCTATAGCACTAACAGATAGGTTTCTGCTGCAGGAGCTTTTGACTAATGCTTTGTAGTCTAGTAACAGTACTTCAAAAGTTACTAAGAAATGGTCGGATAAAGCAGGATTATGCGGTTCGACTAATAGTTGCTCAATTTCAATACCATAAGTCAGAACAAGGTCGAGAGTGTGATTATAGCAGTGGGTTGGTTTATTTACACTCTGACGGAAACCAACAGAATCTAATATAGAGTTAAATGCAACAGTAAGGCTATTTTTATCGTCGTCAACATGAATATTAAAGTCACCTACGATAATTACTTTATCTGTTTTAAGAACCAAAGTTGATAAAAACTCAGAGAATTCAGATAAGAATTCTGAATAAGGACCTGGTGCACGGTACACTGTAACAAATAAGATTGGCTGCAAAGTTTTCCAGGTCGGATGCGTAAGACTAAAAACGAGGCTTTCAAAGGAGGTATAATTTAATTTTGGTTTAGTATTGATAAGTAAACTTGAGTCAAAGATTGCTGCAACTCCACCTCCTCGGCCCGTGCCTCGGGCAATATGAGTATTGATATGGCTGGGTGGAGTGGCCTCATTTATGCTGACATATTCTTCATGTCTCAACCAAGTTTCAGTGAGACAGCATATATCAATATTATAATCTGATATTAAATCATTTACCAATATTGCTTTAGATGCTAGAGATCTTATGTTTAAGAGACCACATTTAATATTCCTGTTTTGTTGCACTGTAGTAGTTGTTACATTTACTTTGATTAGGTTATTATGTATGACACCTCTATTAGGTTTTACCTTAACTTGTCCTTGGGCAGACACACACACCGCTAATATTGGGTATTTTATTGGGTTCGGGATTCCTATGGATGACTGCCTAGGAGAGAGCGCAGAGAAGCGTGTAAGACTGCGACTCCGCCTCCTGGTCTCAACTCCAGTTTGTCATGGATTAAGTCCACAAAGCCCTGAAATGTTTGCCGAAATGAGATCGGCACCTTCCAAAGTAGGATGAATGCCGTCTCTCTTAATCAGACCAGGTTTTCCCCAGAAGGCTGTCCAATTATTTACGAAGCCCACATTGTTTGCTGGGCACCACCAAGACAACCAGCGCTGAAATGATGACATGCGGCTATACATGTCATCATTGATCAGATTGGGGAGGGGACCAGAGAAGATTACGGTGTCCGACATTGTCTTAGCATAACTACACACCGACTCCACATTAAGTTTGGTGCATTCTGATCGGCGTATACGAACATCATTACCACCGACGTGAATAACAATCCTACTGTATTTACGTTTATTTTAGCCAGCAGTTTAAGATGCGCCTCAACGTCGCCCGCTCTGGCCCCCGGAATGCATGTGACTGTGGAGGCTTCGGTCTCTAATTTCACGTGTCTCATAATAGAGCTACCAATAACCAGAGTTGGCTTCTCAGCGGGGTGTCTCGCTGAGTGGGGGAATATCTGTTAGATACGTGAACGGGTTGGTGGGGACCTGCGGGTTTCGCGTTATGCCCCTTCTGAACAGTCACCCAGTCTCCCTGCTGCTCGGGAGTTGCCGGGGGACGGCTAATAGGAGCTACCTTTTGCCGGTCCGCACCGGCTAACATGGGCTTTACTGTAGCTGAGTTTCTTTCTAAGATGCGGAGCCGGGCTTCTATGGCTATGATTCCCGCCTCCAACCTAACAACTATACTACATTTAACACATGTACCGGTACCAGTAAAGGAGGTAGGGAAGTAACCAAACATGAGACAGTTAGAGCAGGAAATAGCACCCGAGGGTGGGGAAAGAGCCATGGCTAGCTATCAAGCTAAAGTAGCTACCGTTAGCAAACCCGAAAAGAGTGTAGGCAACTGTGGAGTTACAGTCGCTAAGAGAAGGAGAGTTGTGAGTGCTTAAGCAATAGTAACGTGTGATTACAACGTCAGGCAGTTGCCGTGATCAAGAGTTTTAAAACGATCGATTAAGTTAAGATAATAAGCTATCAGCAACAGAACAGGCACACGGGATACCCGGAGATGACAACAACCGGAAGTTACAACATGCTTACCGCAATAGTGGTCCGTGTAGAAACAGTGTCCTGTCATCTGTCACATGTGTCCCCTCTTCTTCATGTCTCTTCTTCATCAACATGTGTCCCCTCTTCTTCATGTCTCTTCTTCATCAACATGTGTCCCCTCTTCTTCATGTCTCTTCTACATCAACATGTGTCCCCTCTGTGGAAAGAGACTCTGAAAGTTTCAGGAACAAAGATTCTCTCTCTTTTTGATCCATTTCTATAAAAACCTGTCTGAAAATGAGCTGATCAGATTTTGGCCACTTTATGATGTCATAACGATGTTTTGTCTTGTGTAACCATTAGCCAATCAGCAACCAAGGAAACCCCCCCCCCCTTATCACCTGAATCTCCTCCTAGAGCACCATGTTCTGTATATATCTGAGAGCTGTGATATATTGATGAGAAACAGTACAATAAGGGACCTTTAACCTATCACTGTATATCACCATTCAAACATGTTTGAACAATGAGAGACTTTATTTGATCATTTCAGTAAAAAGGTAACGTTCATATTTCTCCTTTGGATTATTATAGTGTCGAACGCTCAAAACAAAGCACTCTCTTCCTGTCTCTCTCCCCCCCCTCCTCTCTCCAGGCTCTGCCCCAGTTACCCTCAGCAGCTCCTGGTTCCCGCCTGGATCACCGACAAGGAGCTGGAGAACGTGGCGGCTTTCCGCTCCTTGAAGAGGTTCCCTGCTGTGGTTTATAGGTCTGTTTGTTTACCTCCACGCAGCCACTAAACACTTTGCCTATCTGTATCATTGCCACTGTGGCTTTATTAAACACCACAGCTAGTTACTGATGGATGATTCCCTCCAGGCTACGTTTGTTTGGCTGTATTCAGAGAACAACAACACTGATCTAGGCAACGACAGCTCACTGCGTCACGGCTGCAGTGATCCCTCCTTTCCTTTCCTTTTCTAAAGTCCTTGAAATATGATATATTAGGTAAATAGATACATCATTTCTAAGTAGCAGCCAGATGAATGTTATGGATGTTGTTTCAACAGTTCTGTCTTATTGCCTGTGGGATGAAGCTGTCTCTGAGTCTGGTGGTTTTAGTCCTGATGCTGCGGTACCGCCTGCCAGACGGCAGCAGACAGAACAGTTTGTGGCTGGGGTGATGGGGGTCTGTTATAATCCTGAGGGCTTTCTTCCTGAGCCGCTGGGAGTAAAGGTCCTCCATGGATGGCAGCTCCGTCCTGGTGATGTTCTGTGCAGTTGTATGGTCTGGTTTTGTAGGATAGTAAACAAAAATGCAGTTTGACTATGTGTACAACACGGAATGTCATGGAAGTCAGGTTCATCACTGATATATGAATATACGCTTTGGAAAAAGGGGATCTTTGTAGAGCGGGGAGTTGAAAAGTAGCAGAAAATATACCTCTTTTAAGACAGTGGAGCTAACATAATGTTGTGTTTTGGCTAACTTCTCCCCCCCCCCCCACACACACACACACACGCACACACACACACACACACACACACACACACACACACACAGGCACCAGACGACGGGGGCAGTGATCGCCCGCTGCGGCCAGCCGGAGGTGAGCTGGTGGGGCTGGAGGAACGCTGACGATGAGCACCTGGTTCAATCCATCGCTAAAGCCTGCGCTGTGGTGGGATCCCCCAGGAAGCACCTCGCCAACGGGGGGGGGGGCTACAGCAACGGCACCGACCTGCCAGACACTGACTTTGGTAAGAGCTTAAAGGTCTCCTATTATACTATTTGTAGGCATACATTATAGGTCTCAGATATATACCGTTTATAAAAAACATGTCCAGATTTATAGGAACTCAAAATGTTCTGATAACCTCAACAGTAACCCTACTGCTGTACAACCTGGGTCGCATTGTGACGTATCCTCTCTGTTCCTGTGTGTGTATCAGAGTCCTCGATGACCCACAGCACGGAGGTGGAGACGTTGGCCTCGCAGCCTCACAAGCTGCTGATCCTGGACGCTCGCTCCTACGCCGCTGCTGTAGCTAACCGGGCCAAGGGGGGCGGCTGCGAATGCCCAGGTAGGTCTCCTCAAATCAGATAGGAGCAGGTCAAGATGTGCCGTGGATCCAGGAAAATGTGATTGTTTCTGTGTGAAAAATGAAAACCTCCACCTTTTTTATTTGTATTTGTATCTTGTGGTGCAATGTGTGCATTTTGACTATTTGTATCTTGAATTGGAAATGTTACTTTCAACTTTTTATGTTTGTATACATTTATTTTTCTATTTGTATTCTATTTTTTATTTGACATTATACTTTATACAATGTGTGTGTATATATATATATATATATTTAATTTATATGAATATATTTATTTATTATTGTAATTTATCTTTTTATTTCATATTATAACTTTTTTTATTCTTATAAATATTTTTATTTTGTTGTATTTTATATTAAGCTTTATTTAATTAAACATTTTTTAATTGTTCTCTTTTCTTTATCATCTTATGTTTAAATTAGGGCTGTCAAGTTAACGCGTTAATAACGCGTTAACGCAAAAATTAACGCCACTAATTATTTTAACGCGATTAACGCATGTGTATTTTTTTTCCTCGGCCGCCCCGTAGTTTCAGAGCGCATCGAGTTTAAAATACCATCTACAAGCTGATGCTGACAGCCCCGCTCCTGCCGCCCGCTTGTGGCAGACCACACTTCCACGCTCACCGGCAGGCACCGACTGGCCATCTGGAGGACCGGGAGGGTGTGTGTATGTGTGGCCCGAGCGAGCGAGAGAGAGACCTTACGTGCATTGTTGTTGTTAGCATCTGGTGCTAGCTAGCTGCGCTAACGGATATACGGAGCTGTTTAAATGAAAACAGAGGAGCGACATTTCGCCACAACTGCGCCGAGCACTTGACTTTATGCAGGAAGCCAGACAGTGGGACATTGTACGAAAAGTCAGCACACTCAGCACGGATAGTGCGCAACATGATTGCAGCGTCCAGGCAGCTCCCGTTCGAGCATATGCCTTGAGCTGCACATAGCTCCAACGATCACACACACACACACACACACACACACACACACACACACACACACACACACACACACACACACACACACACACACACACACACACACACACACACACACACACAGGTTGTTGTGTTTAATATTCATGAGAATATTTGTCATTGTTCAAATGATAATAAACATTAGCATAAAGCATATTTGTCCACTCATATGTTGATAAGAGTATTAAAAACTTGAAAAATATTCCTCTAAGGTACATTTAGAACAGATCAAAAATGTGCGATTAATTTGCGATTAATCGCGATTAACTATTTTAATCGACTGACAGCCCTAATTAATATATATTTTTTTTTTTCTAAATTGAATTTGTATTGATTTCATTCTAAAATGGAGCATTTGTCACCTAACCCAGTTTCCCCGTGGTAAAACAAACAGTATTTTCCTGATGTCTCTGGTTTAACCCTCTCCTTTATGAAACCCTTGTGCTCCTGCTGTTCCAGAGTACTACCCCAACTGTGAGGTGGTGTTTATGGGCATGGCCAACATCCACTCCATCCGCAAGAGTTTCCAGTCTCTGCGTTTCCTCTGCACTCAGATGCCCGATCCAGCCAAGTACGTCTCACTTTTACTCCTCCAGATTTCCCCACCTAACTCTGCAGGATCAAACTCAGAGCTCTGTGCTGTAACCGTAGGTAACACAGCTGTGTTTTGGTGTTGGCTGGCCGTACATCTGTGCCTGATTTAGAAACCCCGAGAGCAGGATCTGTTTCCATCTGGACGCTGCGAGGACGTGTCATTTAATCGCTCTTGCTTACGTTGTTAAAAGTGGTTCAACGATCGTATCGGGAGACGAAAACAGACCAAAAATCTAACAAAGTACATCCAGTACATGTCCATGAGATAAGATAAGATAAGATGAACCTTTATTAATCCCCGAGGGGAAATTCATGCCATGTTTCTTATAGGGTGGATTATATATGTAATATTGCCTAAAGTGTCTTTTGCACACAATTAAAATCTCACAAAAGCAATTTCCTAATGTGTTTAATTGCCTATAGACTGAACTTGTAGACTTTCCCAGTTTAGATTTCCAATTTCCGACCTTCAAGCTGTTAATCCCAAACGTAAACAAAAACAATCTCTGACTGGGGGCAACATTTAGTTTTCCCTGACTCGATTTGTCTATACATGAACTTTGATCAAAACACAAAACTACTTTACAGGCAGAATAAGTACAAAAAACATCATTTCTTTTTTTTTACTAAAAACAGTCGAATATTCTCAATTTGAATTTTTTTTTCTTTATTTCTTTAATTGTTTTTTAATTCATTTTTTTTATTTCATTATCGTTATTTATTTGTTGTTAATTTTTTAGTTTTTCAATATTATTATTATTATATATTTTTCTTAATATCTTCTAACATTGCAGTGTTACATCAGGCAGCTGCTTCTCAATGAAGATGAATGAAGATGTTCGCAGAATTGACATGCTGATGTTTACGCATCATTTTCATTCAAAACAGTCAAATATTCTTAATATTTTTATTATAATTAAATGTATTGTACATCTTATTATTCTTACAATATTATTTATATGATCCTACATTGTTGAGGTGCATCAGGCAGCTGCTCTTCCATGAAGGGTGGGAAGATGGTTTCTCCAAAGTGGTGACTGCTGCTGCTTCATTGCACTTTTCTCTAGTGTTTTATTGCCAAAAATGACTCGTCCGTCTCGCTCACAGACGCTCCATGTTTATAGACTAAACACTCATAACGCTAAGGATAAGAAAGCAGATAAGGCAAGGGAAACATTAACTCCTAAATGAAGTAGGTCAAAGTGTGTGCATGTCTCCATCCGGTTACATTACACTATCCAAAAGGGCAAAGTCATGGGCTTTACTTCACCTGCACAATAAGGCTGCATGTATACACACCTGTGGCCACCAGGGGGCAGAAAAACATCCCTACAGAGTCATTGTAACTGTGGAGATACACTGTCTTTCATGTGCTTCTGGGCACCAGTGCAAATATAATTTGTACTCTTTTTAATTCCTTTATTTATACCTCTCCAGCTCTTTAGCTGCTGGCTTTTTCCTCCTCTAGTTTGGGGCTGAGCAGATTGAGAGATAATCATATTTGAGCACTTATTAATTAAAGAGGCCCTTTTCCCTTTCCTGTAGTGAGTTCAATAGGTTTTAGTGCACGTAAATGGTCTGCAAAGGCTACAATTCCTTTGTTAAGCATTCCATCACATTGTACGTGATAGGCTAAGGGGCGGGACATCTCTAAGTGGTTGACCAATCACAACAGAGTCGTCCAGCTAACCAATCAGAGCAGACTTGGCTCTGGTTTCAGACAGAGCTTAGTCGTTATGTTTTTTGATTGAATGTTGTATTTAGCCTGCTACTTTTTCAGTATATTAGAGATATTATATAAATCGTTTTAGTCCCGGTTTCGCTCTTAGCTAATTGAATCCATAGAGATGTTGTTGACGGGCGAAGCAAACCTTAAGAAGCTATTAATGTGTGGCATGATCTGTCCTCATATGGACTGTCACTAAGAGGCACATGAGGTCTGATGGATGAACCGCTCAGGTCTTCTGGTCAGCTTCCTGTCCCCACAGTCAGAACTTATTATGCTCCAAATATCTGGATCAAACTCCCAGAAACCTGCAGGTCTGCTGTGACTCTGACTACTTTTAAATCCAGGCTGAAGACTTTTCTCTTTGCCGCTGCTTTTGTGTGTGTGTGAGCTGAGCGGGCGCTGTGTCTGGTGGAGACCAGATCAGTTTCCACTCATCAGATGCTGCCTGTAGTTCTACGCTTCCTGTCCTCTGTGTGTGTGAGATCCAGGCTTCTGTTTCTGTTGCTCATGTAAATCACTTTGTGTGTGTGTGTGTGTGGGTGGTGTGTGGTGTGTGTGTGTGTGTGTGTGTGTGTGTGTGTGTGTGTGTGTGTGTGTGTGTGTTGTGTGTGTGGTGTGTGTGTGTGTGTGTGTGTGTGTGTGTGTGTGTGTGTGGTGTGTGTGTGTGTGTGTGTGTGTGTGTGTGTGTGTGTGGTGTGTGTGTGTGTGTGTTGTGTGTGTGTGTGTGTGTGTGTGTGTGTGTGTGTGTGTGTGTGTGTGTGTGTGTGTGTGTGTGTGTGTGTGTGTGTGTGTGTGTGTGTGTGTGTGTGTGTGTGTGTGTGTGTGTAGCTGGCTGTCTGCTCTGGAGAGCACCAAGTGGCTGCAGAACCTGTCTCTGCTCCTGAAGGCGTCTCTGCTGGTGATGAACGCCGTGGAGCGGGACCACCGCCCGGTCCTCGTCCACTGCTCCGACGGCTGGGACCGCACGCCTCAGATCGCCGCTCTGTCCAAGCTGCTGCTGGACCCGTACTACCGCACCATAGAGGTACAGAACACACTCCTCTAGTTTCATCGCTGACCAGAGAGGGTAAAGTACACACGTCCTTTACTCAAGTAGAAGTACAGATACTCGTGTTTAAAAGTACTCTGGTAAAGTAGAAGTACTGACTAAACTTCTTTACTCAAGTCAAAGTAAAGAGGCTTTGAAATGTACTTCAGTAAAAAGTACCCATAACTAGCAGCTGCTTTAAAGAGTACCTGACCTCCCTTTATATTAATAGAACAATAATGTCGTTGTTAGCTAATGAATGTTTCCATGCTGAACAACGGCAACATGACAACGTTTCCATTGGTCCCTCTTCTTTAGAGAAGACCAGGAAATGATGGATACACGGATCGTGTTCAAATCAATAGGCACGCAATGACTCTAAAGAATAATGATCACGCACCAAACACACATTCAGACTAAAGGAACCAGCTGTTTGGAAAATGAGAGAAGTAGAAAGTACAAGTATTTGAGTTCAACATGTGAGAAGTAGAAAGTACAGGTATTTGAGTTCAACATGTAAGAAGTAGAAAGTACAGGTATTTGAGTTCAACATGTAAGAAGTAGAAAGTACAGGTATTTGAGTTCAACATGTAAGAAGTAGAAAGTACAAGTATTTGAGTTCAACATGTAAGAAGTAGAAAGTACAGGTATTTGAGTTCAACATGTAAGAAGTAGAAAGTACAGGTATTTGAGTTCAACATGTAAGAAGTAGAAAGTACAGGTATTTGAGTTCAACATGTAAGAAGTAGAAAGTACAGGTATTTGAGTTCAACATGTAAGAAGTAGAAAGTACAGGTATTTGAGTTCAACATGTAAGAAGTAGAAAGTACAGGTATTTGAGTTCAACATGTAAGAAGTAGAAAGTACAGGTATTTGAGTTCAACATGTAAGAAGTAGAAAGTACAAGTATTTGAGTTCAACATGTAAGAAGTAGAAAGTACAGGTATTTGAGTTCAACATGTAAGAAGTAGAAAGTACAGGTATTTGAGTTCAACATGTAAGAAGTAGAAAGTACAGGTATTTGTGTTCAACATGTAAGAAGTAGAAAGTACAAGTATTTGAGTTCAACATGTAAGAAGTAGAAAGTACAGGTATTTGAGTTCAACATGTAAGAAGTAGAAAGTACAGGTATTTGTGTTCAACATGTAAGAAGTAGAAAGTACAAGTATTTGAGTTCAACATGTAAGAAGTAGAAAGTACAGGTATTTGAGTTCAACATGTAAGAAGTAGAAAGTACAGGTATTTGTGTTCAACATGTAAGAAGTAGAAAGTACAGGTATTTGAGTTCAACATGTGAGAAGTAGAAAGTACAGGTATTTGAGTTCAACATGTGAGAAGTAGAAAGTACAGGTATTTGAGTTCAACATGTAAGAAGTAGAAAGTACAAGTATTTGAGTTCAACATGTAAGAAGTAGAAAGTACAGGTATTTGAGTTCAACATGTAAGAAGTAGAAGTACAAGTATTTGAGTTCAACATGTAAGAAGTAGAAAGTACAGGTATTTGAGTTCAACATGTAAGAAGTAGAAAGTACAGGTATTTGAGTTCAACATGTAAGAAGTAGAAAGTACAGGTATTTGTGTTCAACATGTGAGAAGTAGAAAGTACAGGTATTTGAGTTCAACATGTAAGAAGTAGAAAGTACAGGTATTTGAGTTCAACATGTAAGAAGTAGAAAGTACAGGTATTTGAGTTCAACATGTAAGAAGTAGAAAGTACAGGTATTTGAGTTCAACATGTAAGAAGTAGAAAGTACAGGTATTTGTGTTCAACATGTAAGAAGTAGAAAGTACAAGTATTTGAGTTCAACATGTAAGAAGTAGAAAGTACAGGTATTTGAGTTCAACATGTAAGAAGTAGAAAGTACAGGTATTTGTGTTCAACATGTAAGAAGTAGAAAGTACAGGTATTTGAGTTCAACATGTGAGAAGTAGAAAGTACAGGTATTTGAGTTCACATGTGAGAAGTAGAAAGTACAGGTATTTGAGTTCAACATGTAAGAAGTAGAAAGTACAAGTATTTGAGTTCAACATGTAGGAAGTAGAAAGTACAAGTATTTGAGTTCAACATGTAAGAAGTAGAAAGTACAGGTATTTGGGTTCAACATGTAAGAAGTAGAAAGTACAGGTATTTGTGTTCAACATGTAAGAAGTAGAAAGTACAGGTATTTGGGTTCAACATGTAAGAAGTAGAAAGTACAGGTATTTGAGTTCAACATGTAAGAAGTAGAAAGTACAGGTATTTGTGTTCAACATGTAAGAAGTAGAAAGTACAAGTATTTGAGTTCAACATGTAAGAAGTAGAAAGTACAGGTATTTGAGTTCAACATGTAAGAAGTAGAAAGTACAGGTATTTGTGTTCAACATGTAAGAAGTAGAAAGTACAAGTATTTGAGTTCAACATGTAAGAAGTAGAAAGTACAGGTATTTGGGTTCAACATGTAAGAAGTAGAAAGTTCAGGTATTTGGGTTCAATATGTAAGAAGTAGAAAGTACAGGTATTTGAGTTCAACATGTAAGAAGTAGAAAGTACAGGTATTTGGGTTCAACATGTAAGAAGTAGAAAGTACAGGTATTTGAGTTCAACATGTAAGAAGTAGAAAGTACAGGTATTTGAGTTCAACATGTAAGAAGTAGAAAGTACAGGTATTTGAGTTCAACATGTAAGAAGTAGAAAGTACAGGTATTTGAGTTCAACATGTAGAAGTAGAAAGTACAGGTATTTGTGTTCAACATGTAAGAAGTAGAAAGTACAGGTATTTGGGTTCAACATGTAAGAAGTAGAAAGTACAGGTATTTGAGTTCAACATGTAAGAAGTAGAAAGTACAGGTATTTGTGTTCAACATGTAAGAAGTAGAAAGTACAGGTATTTGTGTTCAACATGTAAGAAGTAGAAAGTACAGGTATTTGTGTTCAACATGTAAGAAGTAGAAAGTACAGGTATTTGTGTTCAACATGTAAGAAGTAGAAAGTACAGGTATTTGGGTTCAACATGTAAGAAGTAGAAAGTACAGGTATTTGAGTTCAACATGTAAGAAGTAGAAAGTACAGGTATTTGAGTTCAACATGTAAGAAGTAGAAAGTACAGGTATTTGTGTTCAACATGTAAGAAGTAGAAAGTACAGGTATTTGTGTTCAACATGTAAGAAGTAGAAAGTACAGGTATTTGTAGTTCAACATGTAAGAAGTAGAAAGTACAGGTATTTGTAGTTCAACATGTAAGAAGTAGAAAGTACAGGTATTTGTGTTCAACATGTAAGAAGTAGAAAGTACAGGTATTTGAGTTCAACATGTAAGAAGTAGAAAGTACAGGTATTTGAGTTCAACATGTAAGAAGTAGAAAGTACAGGTATTTGAGTTCAACATGTAAGAAGTAGAAGTACAGGTATTTGAGTTCAACATGTAAGAAGTAGAAAGTACAGGTATTTGAGTTCAACATGTAAGAAGTAGAAAGTACAGGTATTTGGGTTCAACATGTAAGAAGTAGAAAGTACAGGTATTTGAGTTCAACATGTAAGAAGTAGAAAGTACAGGTATTTGAGTTCAACATGTAAGAAGTAGAAAGTACAGGTATTTGAGTTCAACATGTAAGAAGTAGAAAGGAAAGTACAGGTATTTGGGTTCAACATGTAAGAAGTAGAAAGTACAGGTATTTGGAGTTCAACATGTAAGAAGTAGAAAGTACAGGTATTTGAGTTCAACATGTAAGAAGTAGAAAGTACAGGTATTTGAGTTCAACATGTAAGAAGTAGAAAGTACAGGTATTTGAGGTCAACATGTAAGAAGTAGAAAGTACAGGTATTTGAGTTCAACATGTAAGAAGTAGAAAGTACAGGTATTTGAGTTCAACATGTAAGAAGTAGAAAGTACAGGTATTTGAGTTCAACATGTAAGAAGTAGAAAGTCAGGTATTTGAGTTCAACATGTAAGAAGTAGAAAGTACAGGTATTTGAGGTTCAACATGGAAGAAGTAGAAAGTACAGGTATTTGAGTTCAACATGTAAGAAGTAGAAAGTACAGGTATTTGAGTTCAACATGTAAGAAGTAGAAAGTACAGGTATTTGAGTTCAACATGTAAGAAGTAGAAAGTACAGGTATTTGAGTTCAACATGTGAAGAAGTAGAAAGTACAGGTATTTGAGTTCAACATGTAAGAAGTAGAAAGTACAGGTATTTGAGTTCAACATGTGAGAAGTAGAAAGTACAGGTATTTGAGTTTCAACATGTGAGAAGTAGAAAGTACAGGTATTTGTGTTCAACATGTAAGAAGTAGAAAGTACAGGTATTTGAGTTCAACATGTGAGAAGTAGAAAGTACAGGTATTTGGGTTCAACATGTAAGAAGTAGAAAGTACAGGTATTTGTGTTCAACATGTAAGAAGTAGAAAGTACAGGTATTTGTGTTCAACATGTAAGAAGTAGAAAGTACAGGTATTTGTGTTCAACATTTAAGAAGTAGAAAGTACAGGTATTTGTGTTCAACATGTAAGAAGTAGAAAGTACAGGTATTTGTGTTCAACATTTAAGAAGTAGAAAGTACAGGTATTTGTGTTCAACATGTAAGAAGTAGAAAGTACAGGTATTTGGGTTCAAAACGTAAGAAGTCAAAGTAAAAAGTCATCAGAAAAATAAGTAGTGGAGTAAAGTACTGATACCAGAAACATGTACTTAAGTACAGCAACGAAGTATTTGTACTCCACTACTTCCCACCTCTGTAACTGACACCGGCCTTTGTTACACGTTTTTATTTGTATTATTTTGGACATTTTTTTTAAATACTCGTCTAGTTTTGTGCGGATAACTTATGTCATTATTATCATGTTCTTTACTTGTTCTCAATGTATTATTATTATTGGTTTTAAAGCTGTAAAGTAACAAGTCCTTAAATCTAAGACCTTGTGACCAATGTTATACTTTTTTATTCTTATTATTTTGGGGCATTTTTGTGTTTTTATGTTGTGTTATACTGTATATCTTTATTATTTTATTTAATTAAATAACTGTATAATTTGGGATAATTCTTTCTCAAATCATTATTATTATTATTTAAATGTATTATTGTTTTAATTCCCCTTGTGTTTTTAAGGATGTAATGTCTGTAAATGAATGAAAACACTGTTTAATTTATATAATTTTGCTTATGTCCTTATTACCCTGTTCTTTACATGTCCTCATATATGCTTTAACATCTCGTGCCGTCCTCCTGCAGGGCTTCCAGGTTCTGGTGGAGACCGACTGGCTGGACTTCGGACATAAGTTTGCGGACCGCTGCGGCCACGGAGAGAACTCGGAGGACGTGAACGAGCGCTGCCCCGTGTTCCTGCAGTGGCTCGACTGCGTCCACCAGCTGCAGAGGCAGTTCCCCTGCTCCTTCGAGTTCAACGAGGCCTTCCTGGTGCGTAACAGTGTTCACTCCTCAAAGTCACAGACACCAGTTGTTCTCGTAGTTACTATTTTATTCATTTTAACTTATTTTCGTATTTAATTTTTTTATCATTTTTTTAATAATAATTCATTTATTTTATATAGTCGCCTTTCAAGGCTCTCAAGGTCGCCGTACACACACATAACAAACAAGATACACAATAGATAACACCAGCATAAGAAACATAAACAAGACAATGCAGGATATAAATCAAATAACCCAAAACAGAGGATGTGTGATGGATATTGATCAGGGTGGATATGCGAGTGTGAAGAGATATGTTTTGATTAATATTATTTGTTTTAATTATTATTATTCAAAGTCATTTTTATATTTGATTAATTATTTTCTTTACAATTATTTTTGTGTATTACTTTTTTATTATTATTTTGTATTTAATTATTTAATTATTATTCTTAGTAGTTGTTTTTATATCTGATTACTTTGTTTTACATTTATTTTAGTATTTTAATTTAGAATGATGTATTTTCCCTCATGGTTTGTTACATCAGGCAGCTGCTGCTTCATGAAGTCAGTGAAGATGGTTTTCTCTATAGTTTACAAACAGGAACTCTCATTTGTTCCGAGTGGTGTTCAATTATACTGTTTCCTAGGAGGTGGTTAAACATTTCTGACATATTTTATTGTCCATGATTTTCCGTTCCACGTCAGCTTCCCATTGTGAGCCACTAATGAGCAGTTACTCCTGCATCCCTGCTGTTATTATCAAACCTGTGTGTGTGTGTGTGTGTGTGTGTGTGTGTGTGTGTGTGTGTGTGTGTGTGTGTGTGTGTGTGTGTGTGTGTGTGTGTGTGTGTGTGTGTGTGTGTGTGTGTGTGGTGTGTGTGTGTGTGTGATGTGTGTGTGTGTGTGGTGTGTGTGTGTGTGTGTGTGTGTGTGGTGTGTGTGTGTGGGTGTGTGTGTGTGTGTTGTGTGGTGTGTGTGTGTGTGTGTGGTGTGTGTGTGTGTGTGTGTGTGTGTGTGTGTGTGTGTGTGTGTGTGTGTGTGTGTGTGTGTGTGTGTGAGTGCCGGTGAAGCTGGTGCAGCACACCTACTCCGCTCTGTTCGGCACCTTCCTGTGTAACAGTGGGAAGGAGCGTGAGGACCGGCACGTTCAGGAGCGGACCTGCAGCGTGTGGTCGCTGCTGAGGCCGGCCAATCGGACGCTGAGGAACATGCTGTACTCCTCACACTCTGAGATCGTACGTCCTCCATTACTTTCCTCCGTCACTGTCCTGAAGGGAGAGAAACAGTTCTGCTTTAAAGCTGGTTAAAACTCCAGAGAAACGATAGAATAGGTTAAAGATGTAAATAGGGTAACATAGACGTCCATAACAATTCTTCAATTGCTTTTTGGGGAAGTTGAGCCCCAGAGTCATGCAGTCCTTTTATTGTCTGGAACTTTTGCTTTTATGTGGTTACTGGATTGTTTTGTGTTTGTTCTTGGTCTGTGAGACAGGGTTTTAGGACCAGTGTTTTTACACAAATATGACAACAAAAGTGTCATTAACAAACATTTTTCCATCCACAAAATGAAAACAAAAAATACGCACTTAAAAAGGATAGTCTATATTGTTGTTATTGTTAACTTACTGACTTGAGTACACAATAACAACAACAGTTCTTGGGAGTCAGAATCCAGCTGATGGTTTGAAGTTCTACTATTATTTGTGTTATTTGTTGTTGTTGTTTCAGGTTCTGCACCCGGTGAGTCACGTCCGTAACCTGATGCTGTGTTTTTATTTTTATCAATATGTTGATTTTCAGCTTACAAAAGATCACATACATAGGACGAAGACATGGAGCCAAAAGCAATACATATATACACAGGACAACTACTTTACATTAAAGAAAAATAACAACACTAAATGAAATTGGTACATACCACAAGGGCACTCTAATACATCCTGGCCCTTCCTACATCCAGGACATGGTTACACCGTACACCCCAGCACGTGCACTCCGCTCTGCATCAGCCAAACAGCTCGCTGCGCCCTCGCTGCGAAGGGGACCCAAGTTCCCATCAGCAAAAACACGTGGGTTTGCTGTCCTGGCTCCAACATGGTGGAATGAGCTCCCCATTGACATCAGGACAGCAGATAGCTTGCACATCTTCCGGCGCAGACTGAAAACTCATCTCTTTCGACTCCACTTCGAGCGATAGAATTACTAACAAAGGACTGGCTTACCTAAAGCCAGTTGAGTAGCACTTGAAATGTTTGGCTCTATGAAACCTGATGTACTTTATGATTCTGTTTTCTTCAAGGTTGTGTCTTCCTGGTCGAACGCACTTATTGTAAGTCGCTTTGGATAAAAGCGTCAGCTAAATGTAATGTCATGTAATGTAATCGGCAACCATCCAGTTTTCCAGCAATAGGACCGTATTTCTACAGAGGATATCAGTCATTTACATTATCGCATTATCGCATTATCCTGCCCCAGGTTCGTTCAGAAATTGTTGTTCTTGGTATACTCCATGTGTTTTTATATTTTATTGTTAACTTACTGAGTCAGCACTTCTTGGGAGTCAGAAACCTGTTGATATGTTCATTAGCTAAAACTAGACAAGAGGTTTTCTTTGACTAAAAAAGACGTTTATTCATCATGTTTTCAACTCAAACTTACGAATGACAGGATGAAGTTGGTTTGATATCATAACATACTTTTCTACTATTATTTGTAATTCCCAAGTTAATGTTGTTGTTTCAGGTTCTGCACCCGGTGTGTCACGTGCGTAACCTGATGCTCTGGACGGCCGTCTACCTGCCCAGCTCCTCCCCCACCACGCCCTCCGATGAGTCCTGCGCCCCCTACCCTGTCCCGGGGGGAAACCCAGAGGACGCTCCGCTGGGAAGGTGAGTCGGAAAACGCGTCTATTTTCAATTCTACTGTCTTTCATTTTTTATTTAACCCTTTAGCTAATTTGTCCGTTTTCACATACTTTTGATTTGTCTTACTAAAGTCTTAGTATGTCAATGTTTGGTATCTATTTGTTTAAGACAACCTCACCTATATAAGCTGATAGTTATTTTTTACATTTTGACATACTATAGGAACATTTTGGACCCAAAATCACCCAAACAACAGATTTTGAAAGTGATATTATTTGTACTATGGGGAACACAATCATGCTCAACGAAACATTTTGATAGCTGGAAATATATAGCTGGGATGTCACTAAGTGGATGTACAAGTTTGATTGAGGTAGCATGAACCGATATACACGTTATTAACAAATAGCAGGTGTTTTTTTAATGAATGGTCTCCTCCTCCATGTCAAACAAATTACAAAACACATGAAGTCACCCTCAAAACGAATTATTATATTTAAAAAAGTCATTTTATTCATTAAACACTTGCCGCATAGAGGCTTTTAATACAGGACATGCTCACAAAAGGAGAATCTTACAGAAAATAATGGCTTAAAAAGACATCAATGTGCATTATTAGACACTATCATAGATAGTACAGCAACAACGACAAAGCGACAGAAGACCGTGAAGTACAGCTGACTTTTTTAGTGCTGACATTTCATTCTTTGCATATTTTATGAGGGCTATTTGGAGACAAGGTCTGAACACTTCTCTTTCATTATGTCTGTTTTGTTCTGGCGAGGCTGACGTGCGATTGATTTGTTACCCAAACATTCAGAGACGATTATACGAGCGGCTGCAGATTGAATCACTCGGTGTAAAACACACTGTGATGACATCCTGTTTCCTGTGCATTTGACATTCTGTTAGTTGTGGGCTGGCCTCTCAGAGTACACTGACTTCAAGCCTATTTGTTCATCTGTACATTCATATTGTGTATTCCATAGAGTATGAACTTGTTGTAGGACGTTATTGAGGATGTTGAATCTATTCCTGGCAGAAAGTGTCCATATTTGTGCCGATTTTGAAAAATGTTGGGTTGATTTTAAAGCGGACTCGAGCCTCTTTTTCTGTTCCTGAAAGTGTCAGAAATTAATTCAGTATCCTCAATTTACGTAACAAAACAACACCAACATTGCCCATTTATTAGCTATTATCTGCGCATGTTAACTGATGCAACTTGTGCGAATTGCCCAACAAATGCACGTTAGCATCCGGTAGTTTCTACGTGCTGGGGACCCCTAGTTTACATTTCTATCATAACACGTTGGGGTACTCACTCACTCTTATCTTATCTTTCGTTACAACTATTCTTTATTTCTGTGCTCCTCAGACGTCCGAAGACTCGGTCCTTCGACAACCTGCCGAGCGCCTGCGAGCTGAGCGGCTCTCTGCCTCCCAACCGCCGCTCCAGCGACCCGAGCCTCAACGAGAAGTGGCAGGACCACCGGCGCTCGCTGGAGATCAACATGGCCGCCGGTCCTGAGGAGGAACCGGAGCAGGAAGAAGTGATTCCTAACGGGGTGGGGCCTCATCCGAAGGAGGGAGGGGACTCTGAGCTGGAGGACAGCCCTCAAACCAGGGGGCCGGACGCTGTTAGGGGAAAGGAAGGAGAGGAGGAAGCAAAGGAAGCAAAGGAAGCAAAGGAAGCAAAGGAGGCGGAGCTTTCTGTGGCGGTGGGCGTCGCCGAGGGCCAGGTGGAGAACATCCTGAAGGAGGCGACGAAGGAGGAGGCGGGAGCAGAGATGCAGAAAGTGGGAGGAGTTATTAATATCAGTAAGAGTGTGAGTGACAAGGAGGTGAAGGAGGAAGGAGGTGATCAGTGTGCGAAGGTAAATGGTATTCAGGTGGAGAAGGAAGGGTTGGCTAACGGTCACCATCAAGAGAACGGAGTAACGGAAGCTGAGGAGGAGGAGGAGGAGGATGAGTGTCCGTCTGTGAAGGAGGAGGAGGAGGAGAAGGAGGCTACTCCAGAGGTGGAGGGTGTAGAAATGTCTTGTGTACAGGAGGAGGCTGTAAAGGAAGCCGAGCGTCCTGCAGCTCTCAGGACTCTAACCAACGGCTTCACCTCCTCTCCTGAGGAGGAGCCGCTGGACAAGAGAGCCTCCGTGATGGAGAGCTCCACAGAGACTCTGACGGAGGAGGTCTGCAGCCGGCTGGAGCCCCCCCCCAGGCAGGAGCAGGGTCTGGAGGCGGGGGAGCAGTTCATCAGGACTTTAAACGGGAAGAGACCCTCGCTGTGTGCCTTTCAGGACCGAGAGGGGCTTTATAACGGCGACGTCTCCGAGCTCCACGGGGTCAAAGGTAACGGAGAAAGGGCTCCTCTCAGTCGGCAGGTTTCCCTCGCCAGCTGCAGCTCCCTCCCCCCCCGCTGCTCGCTGCATCGATGGTGTCATCACCACGCGCCGCCGAACCGCGCCGCGATCGTTACCCCCGAGCAGCAGCCGTCTGTCCGCAGCCACCTGGACGACGACGGGCTGACGCTGCACAGCGACGCCGTGCAGACCAGGCTGCGGCAGATCGAGGCGGGACACCAGCTGGAGGTGGAGACGCTGAAGAAGCAGGTGCAGGAGCTGTGGAGCCGCCTGGAGAGCCAGCACCACTCCCACCGGGTCAACGGGGACACGGGGGACGAGGAGGGGGTGAGGGAACACAGCTCTTACCAAACGCTATACACACACACACAGAGGATATCACACACACACAGAGGATATACATGCACACACACACACACACACACACACACACACACACACACACACACACACACAGAGGATATACATGCACACACACAGAGGATATACATGCACACACACACACACAGAGGATATACATGCACACACACACACAGAGGATATACATGCACACACACACACACACAGAGGATATACATGCACACACACAGAGGATATACATGCACACACACACACACACACACACACACACAGAGGATGTACATGCACACACACACAGGATATACATGCACGCACACAGAGGATATACATGCACGCACACACACACACACAGAGGATGTACATGCACACACACACAGGATATACATGCACGCACTCACACACACACACACACACACACACACACACAGAGGATGTACATGCACACACAGAGGATATACATGCACGCACACACACACACACACACACACACACACACACACACACACACACACCACACACACACACACACACACACACACACACAGAGGATATACATGCACACACTAGTGTTGTCCCGATACCAAGTCAAGAATTGCGATTCCGATTATTTTTCGATACTTAAAGACTTCGTCTTAAATGTAATTATTGTGCTTTATTTCACACCAGAACCATAACACAAACTTTTAAACAATGAGAACAATAAATTAAATAAATGACTATAATTTGTATTAAATACAATTTAAGCATCATCAATAAACAACTTTTTTGTTTTTCGCTTCTGGCGTCTTTGTTGTCAACAAGCCGAGGCGCAGCGGCAGCTGCACTCCCACTCGCAGCCATGCTTCTCGCTTTCTCACATGCTCTGGCAGCTAGCGCGTGCACGAGAGAGGGGAGGGACTTAGAGCGTGCTTCAGAGGGGAGGGACTTAGAGCGTGCTTGAGAGGGGAGGGACTTAGAGCGTGCTTGAGAGGGGAGGGACTTAGAGCATGCTTGAGAGGGGAGGGACTTAGTGCGTGCTTGAGAGGGGAGGGACTTAGAGCGTGCTTGAGAGGGGAGGGACTTAGAGCGTGCTTGAGAGGGGAGGGACTTAGAGCGTGCTTGAGAGGGAGGGACTTAGAGCGTGCTTGAGAGGGGAGGGACTTAGAGCATGCTTGAGAGGGGAGGGACTTGAGGAGGGGAGGGACTTAGCATGCTGGAGAGGGGAGGACTTCGAGTTGAGAGGGGATGGACTTAGAGCGTGCTTTGAGAGGGAGGGACATAGAGCATGCTTGAGAGGGGAGGGACTTAGAGCATGCTTGAGAGGGGAGGGACTTAGAGCATGCTTGAGAGGGGAGGGACTTGGAGCGTGCTTGAGAGGGGAGGGACTTAGAGCGTGCTTGAGAGGGGAGGGACTTAGAGCGTGCTTGAGAGGGGAGGGACTTAGAGCGTGCTTGAGAGGGGAGGGACTTAGAGCGTGCTTGAGAGGGGAGGGACTTAGAGCGTGCTTGAGAGGGGAGGGACTTAGAGCGTGCTTGAGAGGGGAGGGACTTAGAGCGTGCTTGAGAGGGGAGGGACTTAGAGCGTGCTTGAGGGGGGCGGGACTTAGAGCGTGCTTGAGAGGGGAGGGACTTAGAGCGTGCTTGAGAGGGGAGGGACTTAGAGCGTGCTTGAGAGAGGGGAGGGACTTAGAGCGTGCTTGAGAGGGGAGGGACTTAGAGCGTGCTTGAGAGAGGGGAGGGACTGCAGGCACGGCTGCAGGGAGTGGAAGCAGAGCGCTGAACACACACGGCTCTTATTAAAACAGCGCTTTCTCACCGGAGTACTTTTCCCCGTCATTCTTAAAGTACCGATACTAATGAAACGGAGGAATCGTAACGTTTTTAACGGCAGGGTATCGCGGTACCTTTCAAGTATCGGTACACCGTGCAACACTAGCACACACACAAACACACACACACACACACAGAGGATATCACACACACAGAGGATATACTGTACATGCACACACACACACACACAAACACACACACACAAACACACACAGAGGATATACATACACACACACACAGGATATGCATGCACACACAGAGAATATACATACACACACACACACACACACACACACACACAGAGGATATACATACACACACAGAGGATATACATACACACACACACACACACACACACACACACAGAGGATATACATACACACACACACACACAGAGGATATACACACACACACACACAGAGGATATACATACACACACACACACATACAGAGGACACACACACACACACGCACACAGAGGATATACATACACACACACACACACAGGATATACATGCACACACACACACACACACACACAGGATATACATGCACACACACACACACACACAGAGGATATACACACACACACACAGAGGATATACATACACACACACACACAGAGGATATGCATGCACACACACACACACAGGATATACATGCACACACACACACACAGGATATACATGCACACACACACACACACACAGAGGATATACACACACACACACAGAGGATATACATACACACACACACACAGAGGATATGCATGCACACACACAGACAGTGCTTTCACAACCTGACACTTGACTTCAGGACAGACGGTAAAACCTTGACATCATAATATAACAGCTTAAGGGACACTGGAGGTAAACAAACAATAGACTATATGTTCATACAACCTACAGAAGAAAAAGACCTGTGCAACATTTGGATTTGATCAGATTGCTGCATTCCCCTTTAAAATGTTCCTCTGTGTGTTCGTCCAGACCTCCATGACGGACTCAGAGTTCAACCTGGACCCGAACTGTCTGTCTCGCTGCAGCACGGAGCTGTTCTCTGAGGCCAGCTGGGAGCAGGTGGACAGGACGGACACCGAGGTGAGAGGAGGAAACACCACAAAGTCTCTCATGCCCCTTTCACACCAACGCGGTTCCCGTTCTAGCTCCTCTAGAGCTCCGGTTCTTCTTTTCAGCCCCCGTTTTGTTCACACCGCCCAGAGCCCGACTGGTGCTGCCGCGGCTGCGTCTTGACGTCACCGTCTACGTCGCTGATTTTCTCCCCAACGGCGGCGGCTCGATGATCGTGTTGCTTTTAATCAAACGAAGCCATTAAATGAAATAACTACTTCCCAACCCTTATACTTTTCTCCAGAGTGCCGTGGATCGTTTATTCATGTGTTTCAGCGGCATGTACCTGTTTGGCATCACAGCGCTGTTATGAACGTTTCTCTGGTATAACATGGGGGATGTTGGCATAGCAACCGAAGCTAAACTGACTATCTTGACTACTTGTTGCTATCCTATTGTGGCATAAGCCGTTTTCTACAGGCACATTTTACCTTTTCATTATGATTCTACTTGTGATAGTCGGACACGACAACCTGTGCAGCCCATGTATTGATTCCATCCGATAGCTGCTATAATACAAAACGTCTGCCTCTCCACAATGATCAATAACAGAAAACGGACAAGTAGTCAAGTGTTGTTTTTTTAAAAGTGTGTGGTTGCGTTCTAGTCACTTTGCTCAGCGCTACTGCTTGTTACAAGTTTCATTTGCCGTACTCGCCATAAACTGTTATTGCTCCGGTTGATCCCGCCCCCGATGTAAGCGTGACGTATGCGGTTCTTGCTTCTAGACCGACAACTTTTTGGAGCTTGAAACGAACCGGGTTTCGGAGCTTAGAGGCGGCTCCGCTGCGGTGTGAACAGGACAACCGGTGCTTTTCCGGCTCTAGCTCCGAACCGGCCCTGGAACCGCGTCGGTGTGAAAGGGGCATCAGTGCACCAAGCTCTATATTCAGAGCTGCAGCTGCATGCACTAATGATTCAAACTCAGCGTTAGGGATATGAACACACACAGGTATCCTGTTAGAACCTGGTACAATGACTGAAATAGCGAAGAGTGATCGGATTATATTAAGTAACAATAATACATTCTGTAATAAGTTGGTTTCCAGGAGATTTCAACACTGTTACTGTGAAGGGGTTTCACTTTACTTACTCATCCCAAATTAGGAAATGCTTTTCTTACAGCAGCAGAAAGCTAACGGGTGTTACAAATAGAATACAATAAAGCATCAACAGAGATAATATACATATCTAAACAAAACATTAACACAATTGAGATAATCATAATTTCAAGCAAAGCTGAATCTTAATTTACTATCTTTTTACATATTTTGAATTTACCAAATACTGCACTTAGGATTTGGGTATGACATTCTGTCTGTGTGTGTGTGTGTGTGTGTGTGTGTGTGTGTGTGTGTGTGTGTGTGTGTGTGTGTGTGTGTGTGTGTGTGTGTGTGTGTGTGTGTGTGTGTGTGTGTGTGTGTGTGTGTGTGTGTGTGTGTGTGTGTGTGGTGTGTGTGTGTGTGTGTGTGTGTGTGTGTGTGTGTGTGTGTGTGTGTGTGTGTGTGTGTGTGTGTGTGTGTGTGTGTGTGTGTGTGTGTGTGTGTTACAGGTGATGTTTGATGGAGTGTGTGTTACAGGTGATGTTTGATAGTGTGTGTGCTACAAGTGATGCCTAATCGTAGGTGTGTGCGTTGCAGGTGATGTTCGATGGTGTGTGTGTTACATAGTGATGCCTAACGGTGTGTGTGTGTGTGTTGCAGGTGACGCGCTGGTACCCTGACCACCTGGCTGCTCAGTGTTACGGCTGTGAGAGCAGATTCTGGCTCGCCACCAGGAAGCATCACTGCAGGTGAGGATCACACACCTTCAGTCACCCTTTAACCCATCGTCATCCTCCTGTGTGTGTGTGTGTGTGTGTGTGTGTGTGTGTGTGTGTGTGTGTGTGTGTGTGTGTGTGTGTGTGTGTGTGTGTGTGTGTGTGTGTGTGTGTGTGTGGTGTGTGTGTGTGTGTGTGTGTGTGTGTGTGTGTGTGTGTGTGTGTGTGTGTGTGTGTGTGTGTGTGTGTGTGTGTGTGTGTGTGTGTGTGTGTGTGTGTGTGTGTGTGTGTGTGTGTGTGTGTGTGTGGTGTGTGGTGTGTGTGTGTGTGTGTGTGTGTGTGTGTGTGTGTGTGTGTGTGTGTGTGTGTGTGTGTGTGTGTGTGTGTGTGTGTGTGTGTGTGTGTGTGTGTGTGTGTGTGTGTGTGTGTGTGTGTGTGTGTGTGTGTGTAAATCAGTCTTAGATACATCTTGAGTGACAGGATTTTACTTCTTCTCCACTTTTCTCAGATCTCAAAATCCACTTATTGGTTTATTCGGTTTCTTCTGAGGAATTAAGAAAAAGTTAAATGTTTCCAAGTGGGGTTGAATGAGGTAGTAGATAGCAGCCTTTCTCTTATTTTCAAATCCTTCATTCTTATCAGGAATTTATGATTATTTAGCCGAGTAGTTTATTGTTTATGTTTATTTTACTAATTACATTTTAAACCAGAGATCTCTTTGCAGTGCGTCCTACTGCTTCAAGATTCAAAGCTCTATTGTCATTAGCTCAGTAGCTACAGTGTAGATATGGCCCTGGCTCCTCCAACAGAATATATATATAGAACAAATAAAACAGATACAATAGTGCAAGAGAATGTTTTGAGTGTTTTTCTGTTTAAGTTATGGATTCTTAACGCAAAAGTCAGGAGTTAGCGACATTGTGACACACGTCTGCAGCAGGAAGTGTGTGTTGGTGTGTGTTAAGTGTCTGTATGTGTGTGTGTCAGTGTGTGTGTGTGTGTCATGTTCTCCACTGCTCAGGCAGTTCTTATGCATTGTCTCCCCCCCCCCCTCTCCTCTACAGTGGCAGGGAGCCTTTCCAGGAGGTCTGGTGAGATCCAGCTCCCCTCCACCCTAAATCCCCCCCTCTCCCCCTTTAGTATCCCTGCACCCCCCCCCTCTACACTCCCTCCCCCTCCTCACCTGTTGCATCTGGTTCCTTCATCCTGTTGTAGTTGTCATCAAATTTCTCAGAGAAATCTCTTTTATTTGTCTGAGATTTGAGTGTGCTGCCATTTAGAGGTTTTGATTGGCTGTGCAGTAGCGTCAGGGGGAGGGCTGTGATTGGTCGAGGGATGATTGGTATTTCACCCTAAGATTTTTGAATTAGGGATGCAGGATATATCGTCACAGTGCAACTTTTTTACTGCTTTATTGAAACGGACGGTTCTTGTTTTGGAAATATAACATGAAGCTTCAAAGATTAACCAATTCAGCTATTTAATAAATCTCCTTTTAATTGAACACATATTTGGTTTTAATGATTAATTAATACAAAAAACACTCAACACACATTCAAAAATGTTCTAGTTTCTTTCTTCCTTGTTTTAATGTTTACCATTGTCTCCCTTATTATAGACCAATAAGCAAAAACATGAATCCAGAAAGTAATCAACATCCAAAATGATGGTTAGTCGTCTCAAAGCGTATCCAGTGCTTCCCCCTTTAATGTGTAGGCTCGCCTCAGTTTAATAATGAAGGTCTTACAAGAAAACTACATTTATTATTGATCAACCGTCTTCATTTTGTGTTTAAATTAATGCTTTTAACTTACATTTTTTTACAAAATAAAGTCTAAAAAAGCCTCTTTAAAAAAATGATAAATCGCAGGAAGCAAATAATGCAACATCAGGTTTTTCAACATCCTGCAGCCCTAATTAAAACCTTAAAAAACCAGATTTCCACAGCTTCTCCACTCCTCCTGTCATTACCCCCTCTCCACCTTCACCCCCCCCCCCCCCGGCAGCATGCCGCCCCAAACCAGCCGCCTGCATCTCACCCCCAGGCTGGAGAGTGGAATAGATTCATATTTGTAGTTTTAGTTTCTGCTCAGGGTGAGTAGGCAGGTAGAAGAGTGTGTGTGTGAGTGTGTGAGCATGGCCTTACATCAGAATCTGAGCATGGGTTTTATAAAGGTATTAATGTGTGTTTTTATTAATGGGCTGGTTATTAAAGAAATGCTAACAGGCATGGAGTGCAGCAGAAAACTAGATGAACTCATTCTTAAGAAACTGACTTCTTTTAAAACTTGTAATAATGTGTCTAAGGTCAGCTGGTTTACAGGAGACACATTTTATATCAGCATCCTGTTCTGTAAATGTGTTCATACTAGGTTTTATTTACAATCAGCTCTAGATCAACATTAAGCACATATTAACACCACTTCATGATGAAGTAAAAAGCTAATGTTGGGCTATAAAGGAACTACAGCACGGTCACATGACTTCACGTCACCACCGCTAAGCTAAAGGTGGCTAATGTTGGGCTATAAAGGAACTACAGCACGGTCACATGACTTCACGTCACCACCGCTAAGCTAAAGGTGGCTAATGTTGGGCTATAAAGGAACTACAGCACGGTCACATGACTTCACGTCACCACCGCTAAGCTAAAGGCGGCTAATGTTGGGCTATAAAGGAACTACAGCACGGTCACATGACTTCACATCACCACCGCTAAGCTAAAGGCGGCTAATGTTGGGCTATAAAGGAACTACAGCACGGTCACATGACCTCACGTCACCACCGCTAAGCTAAAGGGGGCTAATGTTGGGCTATAAAGGAACTACAGCACGGTCACATGACCTCACGTCACCACCGCTAAGCTAAAGGCGGCTAATGTTGGGCTATAAAGGAACTACAGCACGGTCACATGACCTCACGTCACCACCGCTAAGCTAAAGGGGGCTAATGTTGGGCTATAAAAGGAACTACAGCACGGTCACATGACCTCACGTCACCACCGCTAAGCTAAAGGAGGCTAATGTTGGGCTATAAAGGAACTACAGCACGGTCACATGACCTCACGTCACCACCGCTAAGCTAAAGGAGGCTAATGTTGGGCTATAAAGGAACTACAGCACGGTCACATGACCTCACGTCACCACCGCTAAGCTAAAGGTGGCTAATGTTGGGCTATAAAGGAACTACAGCACGGTCACATGACCTCACGTCACCACCGCTAAGCTAAAGGAGGCTAATGTTGGACTATAAAGGAACTACAGCACGGTCACATGACTTCATGTCACCACCACTAAGCTAAAGGTGGCTAATGTTGGGCTATAAAGGAACTACAGCACGGTCACATGACTTCACGTCACCACTGCTAAGCTAAAGGTGGCTAATGTGTTGGCCGTGATGACGGTTAGTCTTCTCATTTAGACACTTCAATTCACCAGTGGGGTATTTACTGACGTATTGCATGTCGTGGAATATAAATATCTTCAGCTTGTCTTAAACCACATACCTTATTTCAGGATAACAACCAAAAACACACATTCAGAAAACCATTGACTTCCAGACGAGGGAACAGGAAGTGATAAAATGCTGTCCCAGGCTTCTCTAATAATGCAACCTAAAATATATTAAAGACATGAAAAAGAAATAAAATAGTGAAAGTGACATAGTTACGTTCTTTAAGTCTCATTCCTGTGGGTTAAATACACAAAAAATCCAGACTTTTATGAAATAATCACCATTAAAATCAGTTTTTTTGTATGGGGGACATTTCCTGGTGTGTATCGGTGACTGTGTGTATAGGCTCCCGTAATGACCCCTGTTTCTGTGTGTGTCTGTGTGTGTGCAGGAACTGCGGTAACGTGTTCTGCGCCAGTTGCTGCGAGCAGAAGATCCCCGTGCCAAGCCAGCAGCTGTTCGAGCCCAGCCGCGTCTGCAACGGTTGTTACGGCAACCTGAAGCTAAGCCCCGCCCCCCTGAAGCTAAGCCCCGCCCCCCCGGAGCTAGAGAAGCGAAACGATGCACCTGCTGCAGGGAGAAACACCAAATGTCCTGTAGACTCTTAAGTGTGTGTGTGTGTGTGTGTGCTGCAGGTGTGGAGTGTATATACAAAGAGGCTGTGCACAGGGGTGTGTGTGTTTGTGTGTGTGTGGCACTGCTGCACCCCACACACACCCCCGAGGATGGAGGAGTGAGGATGGACGTCCTGGAAACGACTGGACGCTGGAGTTTCTGCGTTTCATCTTTTCAACGACACACTCATCTCACTCTGGACTCTTTATTCATGAAGGTGTGTGTGATCGGGAAGAAATCATGACTTTAAAAATGTCTGGGGGTTTGTCGCCGTAAATACTGTCGTCGTACGATATATTGTCCCGTGAACAACTGCCGTATTATTGTGTTTATAAGACCATTTTGTGCCACTGATATAATGCTACTAGGGAAGTAAACTCGCATGTACAACCTTTTAAAAAAACAAAGACTATTCAGACACTTGAATTTGATCAACATATTCAAATAAAGGGTATTTTAATAATATTTTTGATGAATAAATAAAACTAAAACAGTAAAATACTTTAACATTTTTATTTTTAAGTTATATTCAGAGATTGGAATTTAATCAAACATATGTACATACCCTTTATAAACCAAAACAAATCTGAATTAATTAATCAAGTATAAAGATTATTGGAATTAAATTTAGAAAAAAATTCAAAACACTGAATAAATTAGAGACTTATTTCAATAAAAAAACAAAGTAAATATTAAGAATATTCAGACATTTTAATAGAAAAACAATATTTAAAATACCCTGAATTAATTAGACTTAATCAAACTATATTACATTTTAATTATAAGGAATATTAAGACATTAGAGCAGGAAATACATATTAAAAATCCTGAATTAATAGAGCACTAAATATTGTATAAACGGTTAATTATTAAGCAATTAACCAAATTAATATATTAAATATGGTCTTATAATGCTGCATCATGTTGGCTTAAATGTTGGTCATGTAAACACAATAATGTGGAAGTCGATATATATCCCATAATAAGTAGAAACATTAGTTATGGTGACAGTCTGATGAACTCTTAAAGGGCCAGTGCACACACATTACCAAACCATGTTTCCTCTCTAACCGTGCTTCTATATTTATTCTATTTTCCCAGTTTGAGAGAAGTTAATAAGGGCTTACACTATATATATATTTCTGTTGTACACAAATCCATTAAATGTCTGAAGATAGTGACATTTGTTCTGGAAAACAAGCTGATTTTATTCAAATCCCTCATTATAGTGTACTGGCCCTTTAAGGCTTTAAGGTGTACTGGCCCTTTAAGGCTTTATGGTGCACTGGCCCATTAAGGATTTATGGTGTACTGGCCCTTTAAGGCTTTATGGTGCACTGGCCCTTTAAGGCTTTATGGTGTACTGGCCCTTTAAGGCTGTATGGTGCACTGGCCCTTTAAGGCTTTATGGTGCACTGGCCCTTTAAGGCTGTATGGTGTACTGGCCCTTTAAGACTTTATGGTGCACTGGCCCTTTAAGGCTTTGTGGTGTACTGGCCCTTTAAGGCTTTATGGTGCACTGGCCCTTTAAGGCTTTGTGGTGTACTGGCCCTTTAAGGCTTTATGGTGTACTGGCCCTTTAAGGCTCCCGGCTGAATCTCTTGATTGATGAGTGGGTTTTTATCGCTTTTGACGCAGAATTATTTTGTATTTTTCTGTGTGATGTTTGTTGAGATTCAGAGCAGAGTGCAGACAGGAAGTTGGAGTTTTTATGAGTTTATTTTGGTAACACTTTCTATTAAAAAAACATATCTATAATGCATTATAAACACACTTTAAACTACAATTCGAATGCTAATCATACCACATTATAAAACATTGTATTATGACTTGTAGGTAGTGTCATAATCCTTCATAATTGCTCTTAAATTACGGACATTTCTATTAAAACATGTCTTTTTTTACAACTACAGTAAATCCTTACAAACTTGACCTTTTGCAACAATTTAAAATACTTTTGATCTGATAGTTGTTGTTATAAAGCATTAAGAATATTAAATAGTGCTTATTTATGGCTACAAAGTAGTATTTATACTCGGTTTACTTTCTAAATTATTGGTTTTGTTTATTTAATATTGAAAAACCCAAATATTGTCTTTTTTTATGATATAAAACTACGAAAAAACAGCATTTTCTGACAAGGATAATTACTTTAATGATTCAATACTTATCAAAATAGTTGGGGAATTGTATATAAATGTAATTACACCGGGCTATAAGCAGATAATAATTGTGTTTATAATAGTATAGACATGTGCTTCATAGAAAGTGTCACCAAGAATGAATATCTCCTACGTTAACGAGGGTCTATTATCATTGTTATTTGTCAGCGATGTTTTGAACAGCTGATCGACTGTTATTCAGCGAGTGTGTAACAAAGTGTGTGTGACAGTGTGTTATTGTCACACACACGCACACAACAGCCTCCCACTTTTATTACCCAGCAGGCACTGGGCGTCTCCTCGACTCTTCAGCCTCTCACAGGAAGTTTAACACCTCCACAAAAAAAAAATTGAAATGTTAAAGCTCGTCATTTGTGATTGGGCGTTTTAATCATGACATCACAGGTGTTCTCCGCTCTGATTGGCTGAGGCGTGGAAGAGCGTAGGCAGAAAGGGCTCTTTAAGAAGTAGAGGGTGTTTCTCAATGTCGAGGACGCTTCCTTGGTAGGACATGTCAGGTCCTTCAGAAGCTAGGCAAGGATCCGTCCTGTCAATCGGAGAACGATGAATGGAACAGGCTAGCAAGTGTGTCATATGAGAGGCCCCCGCCTTACATTTTCCGCCAAAGATTTGGGAAATTGGTCTGTGCGCAAAGCATTGTGGGGATTTTAAGACCGCGGAGGATACACCGGTGCAGCCTCGAAATTTTCCGCAACGAAGGATTCAGTCCTCTGTAGAATTCCAAGGATCCTGGACATTGGAACAGTCTTTCGGCGGGACTCGACGTAGCATCCTTGAAATAGTGGCTCTGGAGGATCCTTCCTCGACATTGAGAAACACCCAGAGACTCAAGCACCATCCAATGACCTCCTCGCACACACACACTTTGTTTTTTGTAAGATAAGTGAATAAAATAATATATTCAGATATAGCATTTAAGACAAATGTATAGAATCCTTGAATAGTGGCTCACTTGATTAGTCACCAAAGGTTTTTTGTTTTTTTATTTCTTTGTTTTTCTTATGTTGTTTAATTGAGAAGAAATATCATTTGTTGATGACAGGTGTTTTTGTTTTTTTAAATAGAGAAGCAGGACGTCCTGTTTCGATGCTGCAGTGGTTTTTCCCTTTCAAATGATTTCACTTGAGTTGTTGAATTGCTGTTTAAAAAAAAGAAAAGAAACCCAGACAATTGAAATTGCCACAGGATAATCAGTGTTGATGCTTCCTCTGTTTTACCCTGTTTTATATCAGCCAATCACAAGAGGATGTGTACATCTAAAGGGGTTAGCATTTAGCATCGTTAGCATATTGAAATCATCAGTGTGTGCGGCCGGTGAGACGTCTATGCACTGAGAGGTCCCGAAAATAAATACCCCCCCCCCCCTCACTCACACACCATTACACCCATCTACAAACACTACCTCTACTTTATACACACACACACACACACACACACACACTATTATTAGCTCACACACCACGCAGAACTGCCTTTGTTATTGTATTTTCCCTTAAAGGTACAGTACACATTTTAATTTTATTTTCAAATCTTTTTTTGGGGGGGATTTACGATCTTTTAATCCCCCGTTTGGACTATCAGAGGAATTTAAAACGTTGTGATGACTCATTGAACCGAAGCGAAGTGTTTCCTCTCCGCCCTCCTGTGTTGGTGGTGTTTAACTCAGCAGCTCCACCTTTAATCCTAGACATCACAGAGACACCTGGCCGCTGTCGTTTCTGTTAATTTGTACAAAACACTCAAAAACAGCGGCTTTAAATGCTGACATTATGTGTATATAATGCTACTGCCTCTGATTTCACATCTAAAGTATATATTTGCGTAAATCTGACCTGGGATCCTATTTAGATATTTTTTCATAGAATTTACATTTTTTTATTTTATTTTCAGGCTGCTGTATTTTTATTATATTTTTATGTAGTTTCAGATTTAAGTGATGCAAATATTTGCCAAAAACTTTTTCTGAATTAATTTCAATATTTTTTTGTTGGCTAAAAAATACAAAAATTGGTACAAAATGCAGATTTTTTTAATTTGAATTAACTCATTTAATTGGATGTTTTTCTATACATATGCATCATTCACACTTCCATAGCTTCATTCAAGAACCTTAATACTTAAGGAGTCTTAAAAAAATAATCACAAATAATAATTTAAAAAGTGGTAAAGCCCTAATAACTCTTAGTTAATTGTGAATAATAAATATTAATGTAAAACATCCAAATGAGACGCTCAACATTTTAAATTAACTAATTTGGTACGGACTTAATAATTCTTATTAATCGTTATTCTTTTCCAAATCTCCCAAATAAATATTAATTTGTCTTAAATATTGAAAGAAAATTATTGTGAACACTTCATCACCTTTTAAATACAGATTTAATTAGAAAGAAATAAGACGTCCCTTTACACCACCCTCACAGGCCGGGGCTCATCCACCAATCCATGAATGTGAAACGTCTTAAAATATATATTTTGCACACGACACAAAGTAGACACTGCCACAGGGTGCGTCACAGCAGAGCTGAGAGTGTTGCTTTTCACTATTGTAAAGCGAGTGTGTGTAAACATGTGGTCATCACACACACACACACACACACATCCCTCGCTGTGCTTTTATTTTTATTCTCCTCCTAGGAAGTTCTCTTTCTGCATTTGTTGTTTTATTTCTCTAACTCACGCTGACTGCTAAGGCCCAGTCATCACCTGAGTGTGTGTGTCTGTGTGTGTGTGTGTGTGTGTGTGTGTGAATGCATCGAGTGTGTGTGTGTGTGAATGCATTGAGTGTGTGTGTGTGTCTCTTTTAGTGGAGACTGGTGCCAAGCAGTGTAGTGTCGGGTCTCTCACAGAACGACAGCTCGTGCTTCAGTTTGAGTTTTTCTCCGGTCTGTTTTTTCGAAGCACTTTGAACCTCCTCCGGAGTGTGTGAGGAGTGTGTAGCTGTACATAGCGACTTCCTGTAACAACAAGTGCTCCTCGTTCAGTCTGAATATTTTGTTTCTGTCGGTTTTACTTTTAAAGAGCATTTCATTGTTGTAGAATTAAAGGAGAAATAAACTAGATAAACCTACCGTGTCTGTCTGCTCTGAACACACACACACACACACTTCAATATCTATTTAATTACTTTTCTTATTCTACTCTGTGTTAATTTCTTAGCATACTATACCATGATTTTTAAACGTTCTGTGTCCGTCTGCTCTGAACACACACAAACGGGAACACACTTCAATATCTATTTAATTACTATTCTTATTTTACTATATGTACATTTTTTACTATACCATGACTTAAGTTAAAAGCTCTCACACTGATGGTATATCTGCAGCTGAAACACATACATGGACAACCACCTCTCCATCCGTCAGACACAGGTCAAACTCCTCCAGACACACACACACACACACAAGGAAACACTTCAATCATGTTTAATGCATGTACTGGTTTACATCTCTATAAATCAAGAACATATTAAGTCACTGTCAAACATCAACGTCTACTTATTGAACCGAATACAGAGAAAGGAAAACAACCAAGAGAATCAGAGGAGCTGCTGTTGTGTTCATGCTCACTGAGGAAGAGGAGGAGGAGTGATGGATCTGAGGAGGGAGTTAAAGTGACTCCTGACGACGACTACACTTCACAGAATCAGCAGCAGGTTAGGTTTGCTAAACAACACGAGGAGCACTTGTAATATGTTACGAACCATAAAGCGTTTAAATGCCAAAGGCTAGAGAGCGACCCTCAGAATAAAGAGCGAGTTTCACTTCAGATCCGTCGGTACATGTGCAAAGTGCTGCTCCTCAGACCCTCTTCAGGACTAATGAGAGTCTTTATTAAACGCTGATTATATTTCCTAAACCAACGACATCATTAATCTCCCTGTCGACATCTTTAGAAACTCGTTTAAAAAAAAATAGACTTGGTTTCACCGGCCGACTATTCCCTTTATCTATAAAACTCAGACGGCATTATTTACATCTCTGGAGGAACATTTCATGAAGTGGGTTCTCTTCTTCTGCAGATCACATCTTCCACTTTCCAATGAAAGCACGCGTGAGGAAAGAGGACTCAGAGTGCAGGTTTATGGGAAGCTGCACGAGCAGCTGCACTATGTACAGGCAGTGTGTGTGTCTGTGTGTGGATCAAGGGTTCCTTCAGTTCCTCTTCATGCTCCAGGACTCACACCGATGACTGATCCCAGACCTGCAGGACAGAGACACAGGGTCACACTCACACCAGGGCTTCTCAAACTCCGGACCAAGATCCGGATCCGGACCGAACTGCAAATCAATCCGGACCGAACCATGTGTCCCATTATAAAAAAGAAAAATTATACAAAAGAAAAAAAGAAAAACTTTCTGATTCTGATGTAAATTCATGTATATTTTCTTGTGTCTGACGCATTGTGAGAATGAACGTGCATATATATTTACTTGTGTGCGCGAGCGTGACACGCAAGTTTACCTTGACTTTCTAATGCTTCTAATGCCTTTTTTGCCGAGGCTCAAGGCATTGGCTACAGACAAACAGTGACATTTCTCCCACTAGTTCAAGCCACCATACTGTATGTATTGAATGTGTGTGTGTATACAGGGGCGCCGTTTGCCGACAGGCAAGTGCTTGGACCAGAAGGGGGCCCCCAAAGAAGGTAGATTAAGAAGGTCCACAGCAACGACAACATTAAACACCCTTTAATTTACTGCAACGACATGTCGGGAAACCCCCTCAAGGGGGCCCCATGCATAGCGCGCCGTAAGAAACTGCTTCTTTACTGGACTTTACTGGCATTGATCCGGACCAGTGACCTTGTATAAAATTCACAAGTGGACCTTTGATAAAAAAGTTTGAGTACCCCTGCTCTACATAATACTAATACATTTCATTTATATAGCACACTTTAAAAACAACGTCATCTCAAGGTGCTTTCACCATGAATACTGATCAAACACCAACACGTGCCGTCAGGGGAAGAGAGGGTAATATATACTGTCACTTTTAGAATATACTATATTAGGACTATTAATCAAACCTTTTTAACACAGATTTTATAATAGTAGGGTCATGCAAAGTGAGGGTGCCTAGCCCTTTAAGAGAGAGAGAGAGAGCAGGGTACATGTGTGGCGCATGTTGAGAGCGCGCAAGATGAGAGCGAGACGAGAGCTAGATGAGAGCGAGACGAGAGCTAGATGAGGGCGAGACGAGAGCGAGACGAAAGCGACGAGAGCGAGATGAGGGAGAGATGAGAACGAGATGTAAGCGACGAGAGCGAGACGAGAGCGAGACGAAAGCGAGATGAGAGCGAGACGAGAGCGAGACGAAAGCGAGATGAGAGCGAGATGAGGGAGAGATGAGAGCGAGATGTAAGCGACGAGAGTGAGGCGAGACGAGAGCGAGATGAAAGCAACGAGAGCGAGACGAGAGTGAGATGAGAGCGAGACGAGAGTGAGGTGTAAGCGACGAGAGCGAGACGAGGGCGAGACGAGGGCGAGACGAGGGCGAGACGAGAGCGAGACGAGGGCGAGACGAGGGCGAGACGAGAGCGAGCTCTGAAAAACATGTCAGACTTTTTATGACAACAAGGTATCATCGTTTCTTAAGTCTGGTATACTAAAATAAACGGGGTCTCCCCAGCACCTTGTTGGCGGGGGCCAGCTGCGTCCTCACAGACCCAGCGTGGAGCCGGCCGCTGTCCCCGAACCTCCCCGGAGACCTCTCTCTGCGGGGGTCCATCTCCCTACGGGCGTCCAGCCCTCTGCCCGGGGACTTCTCCCGCTCCAGGGGGGGCCGGGCAGGGGATTTGTCCCTCCTGAACTCGGTCCTTCCCTCCCGGTACCGGTGGGGGGTGCTGGGCTCCCGGTGGAGGCCCTCATGGCTGCCGGGGCCCGAGACCAGGCGCTTGGAGATGTGCTCGGTGTAGGTGGGGGGGCCGCGCTTACTGGGACTCCTGCAGGACACAAGGGGAGGAGATATCTGATCAAAGTCAACTTTATTGTCAATCTTTCAGTTTGTGTGGACAGACAGAGATCGAAATACCGTTTCCCACAATCCTGAATACAATAACAAATATGTATAGAAATATGTATTACATTACATTACATTGAGCTGACGCTTTTATCCAAAGCGATTTACAATAAGTACATTCGACCAGGAAGACACAACCTTGAAGAAAACAGAATCATATAAGTACATCAGGTTTCATAGAGCCAAACATTTCAAGTGCTACTCAACTGGCTTTAGGTAAGCCAGTCCTTTATTAGTATAAAAGTGCTCTGTTAATAGTTCTATCACTCGAAGTGGAGTCGGAAGAGATGAGTTTTCAGTTTGCGCCGGAAGATGTGCAAGCTATCTGCCGTCCTGATGTCAATGGGGAGCTCATTCCACCATCTTGGAGCCAGGACAGCAAACCCACGTGTTTTTGCTGATGGGAACTTGGGTCCCCCTCGCAGCGAGGGTGCAGCGAGTCGTTTGGCTGATGCAGAGCGGAGTGCACGCGCTGGGGTGTACGGTTTAACCATGTCCTGGATGTACGAAGGGCCAGATCCATTCGCAGCATGGTAAGCAAGTACCAGTGTCTTGAAGTGGATTCTGGCAGTTACCGGAAGCCAGTGAAGGCAGCGGAGGAGCGGAGTGGTGTGGGAAAATTTAGGAAGGTTGAAGACCAGACGAGCCGCTGCATTCTGGATGAGCTGCAGAGGTCGGATGGCACATGCAGGTAGACCAGCCAGGAGGGAGTTGCAGTAGTCTAGGCGTGAGATGACGAGAGCCTGGACCAGAACCTGCGTCGCTTTCTGAGTCAGCTGGGGACGTATCTTCCTGATGTTGTAAAGCGTGTATCTGCAGCAACGGGTTGTAGCAGCTATGTTTGCAGTGAAGGACAGGTTGTTATCTAGGGTCACACCCAGATTCCTTGCAGTCTGAGTCGGGGAAACAACTGAGGTGCCGATGTTGATTGTTAGGTCAAGAGTGGGACAATCTTTTCCCGGGAGGAAGAGCAGCTCAGTCTTGTCAAGGTTGAGCTTGAGGTGATGAGCAGACATCCACTGAGAGATATCAGCTAGACAAGCAGAGATGCGTGCGACGACCTGGGTCTCTGAGCGGGGAAAGGACAGGATTAATTGGGTGTCATCAGCGTAGCAGTGTTATGAAAAACCATGCGGGCTAATGACTGATCCGAGCGAGTTTGTGTACAGGG